CTTTTACTATTTTTAGCGCCATAAGTTTAGCTGTTATATGCAAGTCAGGCGTTGGCAAAATGCTTTACATGCGTTGATACAAGAGCGCATGCGTTTACGTTGTGCTAAAAAAAATACAGTTTTGTGCAAAAAATATGCAGCAGGTGCGCGCTTTACTGTTTTTTTCTTAACACAAAATACACTCGTAGGCGCTGATCGTCGGCTAAAATTATAATTTTTTTCTTTTTTTTTTATATTTCGGTCTGATCAGGACACGACTGAGCTGGTGCGACCACTAGAGCTGTAGACACACGTATACTGAGCTGAGTTGTTTGAAATTCATTTATTGCTCAATTGTTCAAGTTTGAATTTTTCGAGCTTTTGAACATATATCGAGCAGGCGAAGAAATATTTTTTTCAAAAAGTCCGTAGTCATGCTCGTGATTCTTCCAAATTTAACTGAAATGCTCGATTTGTGTGAAAATCTTAAAACAAATTGGAAAAATCGATGATAGATAAGTTAAATTTCTGATCTCCCGGTTCGTCCGCATGGAATTTGAAAAACATATTCTTTCAAATGGACGGTAACCGGAATTCACAATAATTCTTTCCACATATTAACTTGCAAAAAACGATATCTATGTCTTCAATATTAAGAAAATCGAACCATAGCTACAATTTTTCCGATTAGATTGGTCCCAGGTTCACTTGCATTTCTACGTTTTACGTAGAGCATACCATTGCATTTTCAGGTCTCTACGATCAGTAGCCTAGGCTGTAGGTTGATCCGTCCATCCCTCAATTAATCAAATTATGTGTACAATTACCTTCTATAAGCAAGCTTTACAAAAAATAGTGAGCTTGTCTGGGGCTTATTATAGTGCTTGTTCTGGCAAGAAATTCACTAACAAGCAGTGCCATGAGAGCGATTGCATTGTCGTTATGCAAAGCCATGAACTAATTTACCACTTATTGATTTCCATTTAACCTGGTGACTGGCATTCATTATGCAGTGAACATAACCTTCACGTACGATCGCATCTGCCAACTTCCTAACGGCGAGCTCGAATGATTTCATTGCGATAATTGAGCTTTAGTTTCAACGTCGTGTTCGTAAAATCATGTTGTTCATCTGTCATAATATATATAATATATAATTCACGCTTCGCAACCATTTAAGCGGTTTTCGGCCGAGCTCTTCCTCTGATTTGTAGTTTAGCGTCTTGATGTTTTTCTTCTATTAGAGATTCGGCCTTCATTTATTTCTTTCACTTTGTCACGTGTGTAGAATACCAAGTCTCTCACTTCTAGATGCTTTTTTGACTGATTCTTGACCCAAAACCTCATATATGAACCAATCGGTTGTATGATATAATTCTTTAGTTTCCATGATTTTAGCCACCTACATTTGAGTTAAGAATATCAAATTTCACGCTTTTAAATGGTTTTTTGACGAATTTATGAACTAAAAGCTCCAATCTAAAAATCGGTCATTGTATAAACATTTGCTATAGTGATCCGATGTGGGCGATACCGACAAATGATCTTTTAAATGTGAAATATCTCAAAAAATGGAGGGCAGATGGCATAGCTGAACCAATTCAACTCGTCATTCTGGTCATATCGGTATAAAGATGGATGGTTCTTTCTCTTCTCCGATACTTACTTACTTATATAATATGTACTCGAAAGGTCCAAAAGATGTTTGACAACTGGACTCTCCGAACCAGCGATGTTTACGAATTCTCTTCATTTTTTAAATACATCTAGCACATTTCGTTTACCACAATACTGTATATTGTTGCAGATGGCTACAATCTTCATGCATGCATATGCGTATGTATGTATGTAGGTTTATGTCATGATACAAATATTGTAGCGTGTATACGTGTATGGGAAATTTGTGAATTATGAGCAAAATGTCAAACTTGAACAAATTACTTACTTACACTCAGCTGGCATAAGAATATACACATATACATAAAGACATACGTATGTATGTATTGTGAAATATATGTATGTATGAGTTCACTAATTTTATGTTGAACGGTATGCCTGCCAATTGGCTGTGATGTCTTTGGCTCGGCTTTTGCTTTTATTTCCTCAATTTATATTTCTTTTTAACAAATTCGAAATTTCTTTATTTACAATCTTATGAATATCACACATACTACATAGCGTTATTACATTTCCATTTGATGGGTAATTACATAAATGGTGAAAATCGCAAGGCAACAATCGCAGAGAATTTCAATTACCTCTGCATTGCTTCTAGTACCACTGGTCAAAGCACGCAATGTCAATATGTATGTACGTTTGTACTTTGCGCTTGATGATAGCCATGTCCATACACACCTATCTGCAAATGTATGTACGTACATACATATATAATGCAAACGATAACTAACCTGAATAGTAAATAAGTAGTCGTTGGCAGCAATTAAATTATGCAGAATAAGCGTTACAACATTCGAACGACTTAAAAGAGTACATTCCTATATACATATGTACTTGCATGTATGTATGTATGTATCTAATAAATATGATTACGCAATATTTGTTAGCAAATTTATGACCCTAATGAATGAATATGTCATTAAAAGTTGAAGGAAATTTTCGATTATGCTTTGAGGACGGTCAAGTTTTTCCTTATGTATTTTTGTATGTGCAGCTGCAAAAGTTCGGTCACAGGCAAGGGGAAAATAGGCTGTATGAGATATACGGCGACATTAACATTGTTTAGAGAATGAAGAGACAGTGGCTACGCGGACTAGGTCACATGGCTTGAATGGTATTTGATACCGGTGCAGTAGAGTAAGAAGTTAATCCTAGCTGCAGTTGTAACCTCGGATATAAATGCGTAAGCATTGCCTACGACAGTAAAAAAGAGCGTGAAGTACAATGGCAATAATGAGCGATCTACAAGCTCTACAAGTCTTCTACTTTTTCCTTTGAGAGAGTTCTTTACTTTTCAACTGCCTGCTCGTTTTGAAGTAGCACCTGTACAAGACGCCCATCATACCCATCCTTCCATATGGCGTAGAAGTGTGGACGATGTCGGCATCTGATGATGAGGAACGGCGAATACCGCAGACGATGGAGCGATAAGCTGTACAGCTATAACATTATATTGAGGGAATGAAGAGACAGCGGCTACGCTTGCTAATTCAGGTAGTCCGAATAGACGAAAGCACTCCAGCTTTGAAAGTATTCGATGCCGTACCCGCTGGTGGAAGCGGAGGAAATGGAAGAGCTCCACTCCATTGGAAGGATCGTGTGATAGTTACCTGACCTCACTTGGTATTTCCAACTGACGACTGGCAGACAGTCTGTCATATTTCTTTCGTTTCTTCGCACGTAATCTTTTTCTAATCAGTGACGTTTGTTCAGTAGTGTTTTCTTTTGCTACTGGGTTATAATAAGCAAAAGATAAAAAAGAAATACTACATATACATATCGTTGCATATTTTTAGGCACACTCTAGTTTGAAAAATTGCTACAGTGATCTCACAAAAGCTCGAACACATGAGTTTGAATTTAAATATGTATACCAAGAGTGGATATATTTGCGAACATTTATAAAGTTGGGAGCACTATGGCTGTTCTCTCTTTTTCATTGGTTGATATAAATTTCAAATGAGTTACATAGCAAATGAATGAAATCGTTATTTATATACAAACCTAAAACTCCGAGGTATCTTAAAAATGGTTATTTATATAACAAACGCTTCGAATTCTCAAATAAACTGAAATTCCAGAGCTTTATTGAAAACTATAGTGGCAGTTCTATGTGAAAAAGCTCTATGTAAAAACAGTTAATTAATTCAGTTTAAACTTAACCCTACTATTTTCTTTGCACTGAGCTTGACTCTGAATAACATAATGTAACTAAAAATAAACTTTTGTACAAAAAGATATTACGTTCTTTAGGTGAAATACATTATTTCTAGCAACAATAACTTTTTGCTATGATAGTCGCTTCGTCGCTGTCATGCTGTAATGCCTTGTGGTTTCTAAAGCTGGGTTAATTTTTCTAATTGCGTTGGACCGTCTGCAAGAACTGTCAACCCCTTCGAACGCAATAAAAGCTCCTCATAAAAAACGCATCAGCCGTTTGGAAGTGGTTAAGCACAAACTGTAGGTCGTTTGTTGAAAAAATAGCAAGACTCATATCACGAATTGAAAGAAAAGATTTGGCCGAAAAACGCTTTAGCGGTTACAAGGACATCTGTCGATGGAAGTATTTTGTCAAAAGCAAATTTAAAAAAAAAATTGCTTACTTAACAGATAAAAATTATCTAGTCGTCAAGTGCAATGTATGGAAAATCTTTTATTAAAACGTCTTGTATATTTATTTTATCTCTATTTGAATAGTAAAAGGACAGACTGAAATGAATTGGTTTAAAAAACCTTAATTAGTTATAAGTATTCAGCGGCCGCGATAGCTGAGAGAGCTTACTGCCATTCGGAAGGCTCGGGCTCAAATCGTGGTGTCGTACTAACATCCAAAAACTTATAGAAAATTAATTTAAATAAAAAACTAAGTGTATTTCTGACATGAAACAAGGGCTCCTTGGAAATCACTTCAACGGTTACAAGACGGCCATGACATAATATATTCATATATTCAGTTTAAATTTAACTCTATTTTTTTCTTTGGACGGAACTTAGCTCCTAGACAGCATTTAGCATGTTCTATCTGTGAAAAATTTGCTTTTTTCTAAGTTCGACAGATATGTCAAAAAAAATCCGGTGCATTTTTTTATTTAATTTCCAATTTTTAAATTAATATCACCCGTAAATTTGCCTTGTAGTTTAAAAAAGCCTTTAATAAATACTCAATTACGTACAAATCTGAAAACATACCAACCAAATGCAACCCTAACGTACATACACACATACATTGGCACATACTATGTTGTACTTGTAGACTATTTTATCACAAACTTTGTAATTATTGTTGTTGGTCCGAGTACTCAATCCATTCAAGTTTTTGTTCATGTTTTTCGTTTGTTCTTTGGGTATCGGCTGATTTCTACCAAGTACTCGTACACTGTTAAGAATTTCTGATTGTATTTTCGACGGTTCAGCAGGTTCAGTCGATTCAGTGTTTTTATATCAGTTGCCGGGAGTGGTTCTTTGCTTTAGTGCTTGGCTATTATTAAGTAATATTTTAATATTTAGTTTAACCGGTAATTCAGACGTCGGAGTTCACTATCAATAAGGAAAGAGTAACCCATTGGATTCACTTATTAAATTACAGATATACAAATACAAAGACAATAAAGCAAGGTGGGTGTAAATAACGTAGAAAAAAATGTATATACATTTGTATGTATAACAGTAGGTAATTTTATCTGAAAATTTTTTTGCTTTATCAATATTTGCTTTTGCACAGGTTCTTATTAAACATACAAACATACATATGTACGAGTAAACAGTGCAATAATTTAAGTGGGAAGCGGAGGTGGGTGGTCCAAAGGAACATACGAATTCTAGTTTGTTTGTATGTAGGGGTGTTTTTTTTTAAATGGGGAAAGCAAAAATTAAGCGCATACTTTAGAAAGTGCATGTAAATATACATATGTATGTATTTATGTGCACATATACATTTGAATGTACATATGTATCTACCATATGCAATTTGAAATATTCCTTAAAATGTATAAATTAATTTGTGAGCAAATTCATGTATTTGACCTGGTGCCAGGTGGGATCAATGTTCAACTGCCACGTCTTCTCTCCAAGCTAAATGCAAGCCTTCTACTTGCGCGCTCGTATGTACATATGTATGTACTTAAGTGCATATGTGCATATGGAGTTTCAAGTCAAACAAGTTGCGTCTTTTTTTAACCTGGAATGGTTAACCCTTTCAGATTTTTCTCACATTCCGAATAAGTAGGCATTATTATACTGTAGTACACATACAAATGTATGCGTATGTAAGTGCATACGATGTATATATGTACATATATTTGTATGTATATATTAAATAAATAAAAAAAAAAATGTTTTGATTATAAATTATTTAAATGCCGTCCTAAGCAAGTACAGACATACTACACGTATGTATAAATAATTACATTGTTAATTCTTTTAAGTCTGTGATAGCGTATTGTGTTCTATATTTAGATAGGCATAAAGCTCCATTCCAAAGTATATAATTTGAATAACGCGTTTAAAATACAAAATGAACCGGTAAATATTATTATCATTAAAATGTTCGAAATACTTTGCACCCTTTCTTAACAACAGCGTTTTTATCACAACAACAAATTCAAAATCCACAAATTTGCAGAATGAGAGATTTTTCTCTCCGGTTTTCTCTACTAACAAATGCAATGAAATAAGCATATGATTAAAGTGGCCAGCGTGCAAAATTTAACAGCAATTTTTTTTATAATTTTTATCCAAAATAGAACTTAAAGCGGCGAAGAACTGCATTTAGAAACATGTTTAAAATTTTGCAAATGCTTGCATTATAAAATCAGGCAATCGTCTTTAGTCTGACCAAATAATAGAGCAGGGATGTTAAATTAATCAAAATTGGGCCAAATGCCAAAATAGTAGTATCTAATGGAAAAAATGTAATATTTTTTATATGATTGACCACATTTATTTTTCATTTAAATTGTGGGTTATATTATGATAAAAACTTTGAAGCTTGAAGCTAAAGGCCTGATTTGCTTGTATGAATTAAATATTTTGTTATACAACAAAGAAAAATGGTAGAAGTGACAGCTGTTTCGGAGACCATCACATCTCCTCAACAAAACCAACGGATCCTGACTAAACAGGCGAGAACGCTACCACTGCGCCAACATCAGCCATATAAACTGTTGTTGTATTATTTAAAAACTATTATATAGTACGACCGCAAAAACAATTATGAATAATTATTATCAGTAAAAAAATAACATTCAATAAATAATGATTATTATCTAATCGAAATATTTTGGCTCATTAAAATAATTATTTTTTGAATAATTATATAAAGTGAAATAAATATATATAAAAATAAAAAAAATATAAAAATCCTAAATCAGAAATCACCTCAGATCTAAAGAAAATTACGCAAGTGGTAGCCTGCTGGTGGCATTCTTTAACTTTTGTGGCTTTTCTAAGTGTTACATTTTTTTCATCAAACCGCAGATAATCATCTACAGTCCGTGGTTTGTACGTTGAATTATTATCAGAATCTATACAGGAAGAGCACTTGACAACAACCGTTTCGTCTTTTTTGATAAATTATACTGTATATACCATATCTTTTTATTTTTATTGTTTATTAACAAAATTTAAATTTACCAATATGAAAAGATTTCAGTGTTACTTTCACTCTTTTATAAAGTGAAAATATTAGTATTGCATTAACAATATTATTGCAACATTGTGCGTCGCTTTACCTCAACCAGAGGAAGTAAAATAATTAATTATTCCAAGTTATCTGCCTCAACCACTTTTTACGTGTACGTAATCATGTAAATACATACTTTTGTCAATAAATGATACAATATTAGGATTATTTATTAAAATTCGACTTTTACAACACAAGTTTTTATGATTTTCAATATAAAACATATTTAGTCAAGCCTCCTTTGTTATCAATGCTTCTTGGCTGATGTGAAATTACACACGTATGACTTGTAGAAATTTTCGAATGTCAAAATAAATTAAAATAAGTGTGGGAATCTTTAGACATAATTGCAAATCTCATGCTTTTATGCATACATATTAATAAAGATAAGACATGTGTCCAGTCATTTTCAATACCGATTCGAGCGTGAGTGTTAATAGATATTTTTAAGAGATTGTACATATGTATACGCGCTTTTTTTTATATTATATTTCCAATATCAGACAAATCCATTATTCAACTTTTTTATAAGCTTCCTCGCAATTATGTCACTTGATAATATAGTTCAACTGTGTTTGCTTATTTTTATACCCGATGATACTAAGTACATCTGGTCAGCTAATTTAGCTATAGTCACTGAGGTAAGCATACATAGTAAACTAACGTTTGACCTAAGAACTTGTTTCTGGGTGACTAGTAAAGACTAGACGTATCTAGGTCAAATTAGATTAAGCTTCACTCGGGGGCCTATTAAATTTTGATTTTCTGTGTTAAGTCCATTTCTTATACTACAAATCAAGCAATTTTATAGAAATTTAAGTTTTCTTTCATGTCATATGCACTTTGCTCCTGCAATTCGACAAGCAAGGTAAAACGAATTCATTGCGCCAATTCATGTATTTATTTGTATCTCTGTATAATTTTTTCACTATAGCTCCCACTTTATCTCGTTATGCACATATACGACAGTTCTCAAAGCAGAGCAAGCAAAGCGAGCTGACATTGGGCTAATGCTTTTAGAAGAGAAACTGTGCATGACTTTTGCGAGCAGCTGTTACTTGTTTTCATTGAAGTTAAATTTTGTATTTTGCTGGTGAAATTGAAAATTTTTGTATTCCCTTAATATTTTTTGTTTAATATGTTGTATATGTAAATAAATAATTATATAAGAAAGCTCAGTGAAACCGTATTTACTTGTCATTCAGTGAATGTGTGTGTTAGTATAATAAATAAGTGTGCTAACTATAATGTGGATTCAGAAAATAAAAGAAAGTGACTAGAAGTAGAATTCGCTATAGAGATTGCTATAGATATACATATATAGAAGGGTACACTAAAACTGAAAAATTATTTACGAAAATGATTGTATATGAATATAATCCTGTTAATCTGAGCCCAGTTAGCCCCTTTTACATTTAGACCATGATCACATCTTAAAATGTACAAGGCACATTAAGCAGATAGCAGAACAATCATTGACCCAGCTACAACAATATTTGCCAATGAGACAAGAAAAGTGAGCATCTAAGCGAAGTGCAAAAAAATAATAAAATTGGGTGCTGGGAAGATTGGAAAACTTATCGAACTCCAATGTATTTCTCTATATCAGAGTGATGTTAAATTTATTTGTGACACACAGTCACTTGGAGAATAAATAAGCAGCGAATTCATGCCTAGTGACCATGTCAAAAATTATAAATTAAGTGACAAGCTGTTACCTCATCAAGAATATTGTCCAAATTTAGCCACTTCGACTTAAAAAAAAAAATTAAGAAAACGCCGTACTAAATGTTGCAAGCTAAAAGGAGGAAAAGTACTTTTTTCTAATATTTAATAAGAGATAGTAAAATAACTTGCGCTCTCCTTTAAAGAGATACATGGCAGCTCCCGATAAAAGGACACATAATGCAATTTGATAACAACATGCCGACAAACTTATTTTGTGAGTTCCAAAACCTACAAAAAATGGTGATATCGTTCCGAAATAAATACAATTCTTCCTAATTTCTCATACAAATAACCTTTTCGTTTATGATTAAATGTAATGTGAATGTTAACATTTCTCCATTATTATTATTATCTTTACAATAAATTATACCAATATACCTAATCCTAATTAAGTTTTCCAATTGCGGTCACCCCTCTGTATTTATTTCAGAGACGAAGTGGGCAGATACTTATAAAAATCGAGGCAACTTAGAAAAAAGGTAGATCTCTCCTTTTTTTTGGAAAACCACCAAGACGCTCACCACAAGTTAGAATAGACGCTCGGGTGAAAATCGGTTCAATGGTTATAAACTACAAATTATACATTTAATGCTCAGTTCCAGCCTATTTTATTTTATTCGATTTTATATTAATCACTTAAGTGTGTGAAATTATAAACTTATTGTTCACATTTACACATAGGCATGTATTAAGCCAATATTTGTGAGTGCATGAAGAGAGCCTTTGTATGAGAATTAGTTTGAGAATTGTATGGAGAGCTGTTTGGCGCTTTTCGACACACATGCGAGCGAAATCTATGCGCATGCATGTACACATATAGTATAGTATGTGTGTCAAATGGGTTTGTTATCAATTTAATAATTCATGATAATACACGCTATTGAACTGCAATTGATAGATTTTAGGCCAAGCTTTCTACTTGTTTCAGTCATTTGAGTTTAAACTATTCGAATGTATTGAAGATAACCCCCCAAAGGAAGTTTTAGAAACAGAGCTCAAAAAGAGAAGGCCTGTTCCGCATAAAAGGCATCTAGTTGTACGGCAACAAAGATGTTTGTAGCGTTTGATACGGGAATCATAAGTCAATATTCCCCACACAAGTTCGCCCAACTACGTCAGGCTTATCAGCGTACCCACTTAAAGCATTAAAAAAAAAAACAATGGTAATCAAGTAAAGCGCTCTCCAGACATTGCATAATGTTTTTAATAATAACTCAGTGTAAATCGGAATAAGATAAGTCAAATATTGTCCATTAGTTTTATGTTCATAAAACAGTTTACTTTATAAATTCAGAGTGTGAAAGTTGCATGTGGAAATCACTTTTATTTTCAGACAAAAGAATTTTATTAAAATCACTGCAAATACTACATTAAATTATACAAACATCAACTGCATATCTTAAATATTATTAGTGAAAATGCACTCGTTACGTTATGCACGTTCATATACACCAACATTTCTGCGTGCTTTTACCGCTGCCATAATGAACAACGCTGGGGTAAGGCAAGTTTCATATTGATATTGATATTTTGGCGATAATGTAAGCTTAGATACATACATATATTAAATAAATAGCAGTTGTTTACATATAAAGTAAGAAAACAACATCAACATTGCAAATCAAGACTCCCATAGCCGACAATAATCTGCCAGACGACCCGCAACCCTTAATTTTTCTCCTTCATAAAGCTTCTTGCCTATGTTCTAAATATTTTTTTTTTTTAATATTTGTAAAGTGCAGCGATTTCTATGAAAAAATTAAAAGTGCAAACATTCAAAGTTTCAAGATCCCATTATAAGATGCCTTTCATAATAATAAGGCAGTTTAATATTTCCAATTTAAAAATAATAAATAATTAAAATCTGCATTCTATTTTTCTTCTTGTTTTCCTCTGCTTATAACACATCGTTATTTCAAAATTTATGATCCGATATAGAATATTTATCTTTTCCTTGGATAAGAGCCGTATGTTGCACTCTCTGTGTTTTCACAATGATAAGACAGGAGTCCAAAGTTTTAATGAGGCTATAACGAAAATCGAAGTTTTTTTTTGAAACTACGAGTATTTAAGATATTAGATATGTGATCGGTAACCTGGGCTATAAGGTCTGTTCTATCTGAAATGTGAGCAAAAATTAATTAATAACGAAATGTCAAACATGCGTATTCGCCGTGCATATTTGACTGAGTTTTTGCCAAGAGCGTTTTTTGTCAAGAGAACGTAAGTAGTACTTTCTGCGAAAAAACTTAACATTAAGTACAAACTCTGCCAGTGCTTGCACTAACTTTACCGTACCTAAGGAGAATAAATGTCAAGATAACCTCATATTTTGCCAAAGCACAAGCACGCGCGTCTATGATTTGTAGAAGATCACATATACCAATTGGGTCACAGAGTGACGCCACTAATTTTCCAATAGGAAAACGCTCACATTCACTTAAGCAATGAAGCGAGTCAATTTTTTTTTTACTGATTCTTCTATAGAATCTATAAAATGGATGGCCTGATCTGCGAACTTAAATCGTATAGAAAACCTACGTGGGTTTATGGAAATAATCGTCGATATGACAATGCAGATGAGTTTAAGGCAGCAGTTACTATCGAATGATCTAAATCTTTTTCAAAAGTTTACTAAATCAATGAAAAGAAACACTTTTTTCCGTAAAACTTTACTTGTTTTCTAGAGCTAGTAAATCTAGTAAATCAATCTCCATCGTTTCGAGTTTCGTTAAAATTATTAATGAGTTCTAGCCCTTTTCTTTTATACCCGACCTGCAAAAGAACACCCAGCTAGCTTATTTTCAATTGTTTTTCTGTGCGTACTGTTGGCAACACTATCACCCATATTGAGACCCAGTATACATTATTGGACTTAATATTCGACCGAACACATCACGTCCAGCAGTGAAGAAAATAGCACGGCTGTATCCGAGTATATATACGAAGACAGATTCTGCTCCGTTCGCATCAACTCGGACTGATGTATGGAACGACTCTGCGCTTTTTATGTCGAAATCTTAAATTGAAAGCAAGATTCAAGCCATTTCATCCAGAAAAAAAAACAACAGTTTGGTGTGGTTTGTGGGCCGGAGGAATCATTGAAATGAAATTGTAGCTCGTGATCTAGGTGACAACAAGGCGGCGCCACTTCTCACACATCGCATCAATCAATAGATTTATTGAGAGATCACTAACGTGAGCTGATAATTTCACGTTTTGGCTCGGTCTATTGGCCACCAAGTTCGTGTGATACACACCGTTAGATTTTTTCCTGTCGGGATATGTAAAGTCTAAAGCCTTGGAGGAAAACATAACGCGTGTCATTCGCCAGTTACCTGTCGAAATGCTCGAGCGAGTCATAGAAAATTGGACTCAACGGATGGTCCATCTGAGAGGTAGCCGCGGCCAACATTTGAAAGAGATAATCTTCAAAAAATAAGTGCCGATGAATGATCTTTCGAATGATAGTGAACATTTCCTATTAGATTTGAATTTTTTTCTTTAAAAAAGTATTGAACTTCGAAATGAATCACCCTTTATAATTTTTTTTAATAAAATAATGGAAAAACATAACAAAGTCACTTATTTCGAAATATCTTTTTAAAAAATACATTAGTTTAAAACAATAAATATAAACTATGAGGCACGATTTTACCTACTGTTCGATTTTGAAGTGTCACAGTTTGACTGGAATTTCCCTAACATTTGACCTTTCTTTTAGCAGCCTATTTACAACAGTACTACTTTTTCACTTTACAACTTTATTAGACAAGTCGGGTATTGTTTAAGCGATCAAATCGGTTAAATTACCGTAAGTTGCTTATTTTGTGTGAGTGTTTGCCATGTTAATGAATAACCTACCTTCCGTTCTTTTGCAGTTCGGGTGCAAATGAAAGACAGCTTCTGTAGATTGTTGCTTATTTTTTGTTCTTTTATATTTACAAATAAAGAAAAAACTACCCATCTCACTAGATCATATCTTTTTCATATTTAATTGGCGTTTACAACGTAACTTCATATATTTCCGTATGACCACCCACCTAAATATACATATGTATATATTTACATCATATGTATCTACATAATAATATTTCTCAATTGATGAAAATATTTAATTTTTTATTCTCCAGATGGCAACCAAAATTCGTGCAGGTCCCGTCGTCGATATACTCGGTGATGAAATGACACGCATCATTTGGTCTTCGATAAAGGACAAATTGATTTTGCCCTTCCTGGACATAGAATTGCACACCTTCGATCTTGGCATGGAATATCGTGATAAAACCGATGATCAAGTCACAATTGACTGTGCAGAAGCAATTAAGAAATACAATGTTGGTATTAAGTGTGCCACCATCACACCGGACGAGAAACGTGTAGAGGAGTTCAATTTGAAGAAAATGTGGAAATCGCCCAATGGTACCATACGTAATATTCTTGGTGGCACCGTATTCCGTGAGGCGATTGTCTGCAAAAACATTCCACGTTTGGTTTCGGGTTGGGAGAAACCGATCGTTATTGGACGTCATGCGCATGCAGATCAATATAAAGCTACAGATTTTGTAGTGCCTGGACCTGGCACATTGACGCTGACTTTTAAGCCAGCCGATGGCGGTGAGCCCATTTCCCATGAAGTACACCAATATAAAGGAGCCGGTGTTGCCCTGGGCATGTTCAATACGGACGATTCCATTAAGGATTTCGCACAAGCTTCAATGAAATATGCGTTATCGCGAAAACTGCCACTCTACTTGAGCACCAAGAACACCATTCTAAAGAAGTATGATGGTCGCTTTAAAGACATTTTCCAAGATATCTACGACAAGCAGTACAAGAAAGACTTTGAAGCACAGGGCATATGGTATGAACATCGCCTAATCGATGACATGGTCGCTTATTGCATGAAATCAGAGGGAGGTTTTGTGTGGGCCTGCAAAAACTATGATGGCGATGTACAATCCGATTCTGTGGCGCAAGGTTTCGGCTCACTTGGGTTGATGACTTCGGTCCTAATTTGCCCAGACGGCAAGACAATCGAATCGGAAGCGGCACATGGCACAGTTACACGTCACTATCGTATGTACCAGCAAGGCAAGGAAACGTCAACCAATCCCATTGCATCGATCTTCGCTTGGACAAGAGGTTTATTGCATCGTGCACATTTGGACAACAATGAAAATCTGAAAAAGTTTGCCGAAACACTGGAGAAGGTCTGCGTTGATACCATCGAGTCAGGTAGCATGACCAAGGATTTAGCAATTTGTATTAAGGGCATGAATAAGGTGCAACGCAGCGATTACTTGGAAACATTCGAATTTATGGATAAACTAGCCGAAAACCTACAAAAAGCTCTCTCACATTGACTTGGAAAAGTCAGCACGAGCTCTAGAAAAGGAAACAGCCGTTCGCATCTATAAGATGCTGGAGATGGTATTGCAGTAAATTTGAAAATGTTAAACATTGTAACCTACGTATGTATGTATCTAGTTTGTAATCAACATAATTGTTCACGGCAGTAAAGATTAATAAATGCTTTTATATTTGATATAATACAATAAAGATGTCGACTTTATTAATTTTAACTTTTCGTTGTTATCGATAACTATATTTGTTAAACGCGAAATGGTCGTCAGCAGAGGGAGAAGGATGTACGATAGTTAGGTCTTGTGGACATCTACAGAGGTGATTAGTGTCGTACGGGCACATATTGAACGCAAGACATATGTATCGCGTGGTAAAATCGGCTACTATGGTATCCAGACCTTAATTTTGAAAGTTTTAATCGGGTCTTGCAGAATAGCTCGAGCTTTTCATCTGCTATAGCTGATGTTCGGATTCGGAGAACGCCATTCACGGGAAAAGTGATGATAAACGACTGGACAAACTCCATTTGAATAGCGCTTAGAGCATGCCGGGAACTGCTCCTTTCAAGCGGTTCACTGATATGGTGATGTAAAGTTAAGTACTCCCTTCGCGATGTGTCTGTAAAGAAAAAACAGATGTCCGCAGGGGTCTTCCTTGCTCTTCCCAGGCACCGCTTGCTCAATTAAGAGATTGGATGTTTCACTACGCAATTAGTGTTCAGATGTCATCAGGACGTTTCCTGTTATGATACTCAACCACGGATATCGCTCATAGTAGTTGTATGTAACGTTTAGTTAAGATGTGGGGAAAGGTCAGGCCAATCTCGTGCAGGCATCGGCTTATGAGATCAGAGTGAAAACGCCTCAGGTGATGGACGGGGCTTCGAACTGTTGAATTTTAATGTAGGCCATGAGTTATATGAGTGTTTATGGCTTTAAGTGCGGAGAAGGTACCGTAAACTTTGCGAAAGATGTGCAACTGGGCTCATGAGGTGAGTGAAATAGATGAGCAGCAAGGCGTCAAGTATTTTCGGTACTGAAAACTGGTTTCCACAATTTCGGTTCTGTTCTGAAAACTTTATTCCTCTATGGTTCTGTTGCGCCTTTAAATCGGCCAAAACCAATCGGTTTTCGTCTCTAAATAGAGGGACTTACAGTTTCTATTAAGCCGTCTTCGAACGGCTGGTGGTTTTTCATGAGGAGCTTTGTTTCATGTCACAAATACACTCGGAGGTGTGAATGTATATCAGGGTGATATTCTGCTGGACAACAAATAATATTTATTAAATATTTTGAGTTCGACAAGGGTACTGCACAGTGTTATCTAAAGTGAATGATATGACATCACCGGCACAGCTGAGAGGATATAAGAGGCCCTATAGCTTCGTAGTACGGAGTTAGTGATGGAGGGCACATCCGTAGATGGGCTGTTGAGTGCTAGCACCATAGTGCTGATCTATATTATGGGTATTGAGGCCTAAACACCTTTTAAGATGAGTCCAACCATTGCACAGTTTGCATCTAACTAAAGTGGAAGAATTATTTAGCCGTTGATGGAGCAATTAGAAAATTTAACTTAATTTTTTAATCAAATTAATTTTCTAAAACTTTTGGGTATTGGTCGTACCAGGATTTGAACACTGGCCTTCCGAATGGCAGTATGCAATGCGAACCGCTCGCCCTTTCTATATTATACGGCCAAAGAATTTGTATTAGAGCTTTCAATTTGTCAAATCTGCGTGCACATTGCTCAACTCATACGAGTAGCTCAACTTTGGGTACATTCTAAACATTCACCGTTATATAACATCAACTAAACAAAAGTTAAATGGTCTATAAATTGATATAAAACAAAGCACTTACAGTTATAGCATAAACCTCAAGTCGACAAAGGGCTAAGTAAATATATGTACCATGTCTTTCCCTACACACCGTGAAGAGTGTACAACGAATCCGATTATTTCGATTAGCCAGCTAGTCAAATTGTTACTCTCTGTCGCCGTTAGTTCTCTGCGAAAGGTCTTTAACCCAGCGGAAAACAAAAAATTATGTATAAAAGTTCACTCACTTTTCTCAGCTCGACACCCCACAGCTGAGTTACATTTTCTTTTTCTTCGAATATCCGCTGTCCAGCGCTTACTACTGCCCAGCACTTTTGGGGCTTCAATTGAGCTCGAGCAAACTAGCTTTTATTAAATTTGTCGAGGTGCTAGTTGTAGTCTTTCGGAAATTCCCAAACGTGCAAGATGTTTGCACCAACGAGTGCATGGAAATTAAAAATCAACAGCGCACTAATTAAATAAGCCGTTCGCAAGGACTCGCATTAGAATATCGTTGAAATCGTTGAAAAACTCCCAATTCGTGTTGTATTATTTTATGTTGAGTTCAATTTTTTTAGTGCATTCATTTAGTGTTACGCGGGAATCAAGGATATGCAAAATAACAATAACTCACTAGAGCCGTGTATGTCCTTTACCATATCACTATTGCTGATATGTGTGTCAATTGTGTCGGTGAACGGGTATCCGTCCAACACGTTTCGCGATCTTGATATTTGCAACCACTGGAATGGGCGGCGACATTTTCTGGAATTGGGTGAACGTGGAGATTTGCATGCGCGCAATGTCACCACATCAGCTTTCCGAGTGTGTAACTGCAACCTGTCGTTTGTTTAAAATAATTGGTAAACTTTCAAATATACATATATTTCTCCTCAAACTCGCAGAGCACACTCTTCTCGCCTACGAATCCCAGCCAAATGAAGAATCGCAGCAGCACGGATATATGGTATCAGTGCAACTTGGAGCTTGTGACTTGCGCCGAGTGTGTTATACGTATCACATTCACTCATGTTAATTTCTCGAAAACATGCGAACGCATTGCTAATGCCGGAATTGGAAAGTCATCATTATGTCCTTGCGAGCACATTCAATTCTCAGAACCACCATATGATTCAACGATTTCGGGACAGGAATTTTGCGGAGATGGCAAGGTCTTTCGCAGTAAAACGCGTACACTTTTACTAAAATTTTTCTATCGCGCCACGAATAGTCATGTCTTTTCGCTGCAATATTTTTCGGAAAGTAAGTGAAATTTTGTATTTTCCAATGCCATTATTAGAATTCAAATTCAATTTCATTCATATTCCACCTCAGGAAATGTTAAGATCGTCAGCGGTTCTCCGAGACAAGCCATAATTAGTAACTATTCCAAAGCTGAACCTCACATCATATCAACACCGTACTTTCCAATGCCATATCCGCGTGACTATGGCATTGAGCATATACTAACGTGTGAATCTGAGAATTGTCAAGTTCGTCTGGATTTTACTGATTTTCAATTAGGACTCACTTCGACGCTGGAAATATTTGATTCCAACGGTCAAATGTTAGACTCCTATACTGGTGAACACTTCCGGCCGCCAATCACGATTAGCAACGGTAAATCACTTTTACTGCAATTTCGTGGCAATGGCAATACTGGCGTAGGATTTCGCGGCGAAATAACTTTCGTCTCATCCAAGCAATTGAAAGAAGATCGTTTAGTCCCATATACCGGTAAGTGATATTGGCGAAACAGATATTATAATAATCATTAATCGTGTGGGGAAATACCTACATATATGTATGTAGGCAAGTATTGTTATTTTATACAACCATATGTTTCGGGTAGCTGGAAAAAAGTTTCATAAGAAATCACCTTTTTCAAGATCTAGAATATGGAAATAGGAGAAGTGTAACGTTGGTTGTTCATTCGGCGTTTCATCGGCTGCGGTATTCGAGGACGAAAAATTCTCCGCAGCCTAAAGCAAGACGGGTCTGATGAGCCACTTGTTGAGTTTGATCTTTATTCATCGAGAGAAGACTTTACTATTCAATTGCCTACTCAGTCCAAAGTAGCACTTGTTGCCAAGAGTGATTCGGCGTGTTAATACTAGTTCCCAGATAGAGAAAGTTATCTACGACTTCAACAGACATGTGTTTGTTTGATAACAAGAGATATTTCGTCTTGCCCTCGTTCACTACCAGACCATTATCTTTTTCTTTAATATCCAATCTGAAGAAAGTAGAACTCACGTCGCGGTTTTTGAGGCCAATAATGTCAATATTATCGGCTTACGCTAGCAGCACGATAAGGAATCACCCTGTCTGAAGCCTCGTTTAGTATCCAACGAGTCGGAGTCATCTTTACCAACCCTGACGGAGCTTTGCTTACATATCTGTATAAGATGCCCTCACTAGTATATCGGTTATGAATTTATTATATGGTAGTACAAGAGTTGATGATGCTGTCGGCTTCTGGTCAATGCACTTTGGCTTTTTGACCTTTTGTAAAACCACAATGCGCGAAGCATTCAGCAAGTGTACAAGCTTTATTATTATAGAGTTATCCAAGAGGCAGTCGAATCAATATTTTCCCAATAAAATGCATGACAATGACAGAGGCAGTGTTCGACCGACTCTTACTCTTTCCTGGCCATGCAACTGGGAAAAATATCTCTTGAGAAACATACCGTTCTTTTACCCTGAGTTCCCAATAAACAGCGCCCTCTTTTAATACCTAATGTGATACTGGCAGAGAACGGGCTAGAACTGATTTCAATTATTAATAGTGAATTTCAGTCCGGGCACATACATATGTATGTATATACTTTGCTGTGGAAAGAGGTATCCCCACATTTCGTCTAAAGTTCGTATTACTTAAGATGATTCCTTCTCTAGCCAGCTTCTTTCCCGCTATCCAGATCACGGTGGTGTTACCGAGTTTACCCAAAGTGCTTTCACTGCAGAGATCTGATGGCAGCTAGACTGACCGAGTATATATCTATAGTTTCATTACTGATCGCAGATTAATCAGCCAGCTTCCGTGATTGCATTAAGTTCTATTCTGAGGCTAGTGGTGCGGCTAATGTCATGCTAATATTGTGTGAGAGTCATGGATAGTGGATTCTATATACAATATAAGCCTGTCACTGAGTTTTTTACTAACTGGTTCCGGAACATATAAATTTCCAGTTCGTTCCTCTCAGGGATCCTCATATAAAACAGCTTGGCAACATAGAATTTACCGATTGTGTAGTCTACTTCTTTGTCCATTTGTTGGGAAGAAAGTATATGGGCATGTCCTCTGTCAGTCTCAGCCTCTCCAATGCAAGGCTAAGTTTCGATCAGTCGAATTACGTTACAACTCGCTTGAATTTCACCGCCATAATGCTCTCAAGGAAAATACTCAGGATGCAGAATTGACTCGTTGGTGTAATGTATCTTCGTCCAACTGTCTTGTTTTAACATCAACTAGAAACTCATGGTTCTAGGTAGTACTAAACTTTGTAAACAGCGGTTATGTGATTAAGCTACATACAAGATGTGTACACAGTACAATCGGGTGTAATAAGTACATGAGACTATTACAGACTGCATTAAATACATTTGAAGGTCTTCCTTTCTATTTACCGATAACGACATTGCTTGAGTATTGATTAAATTGTACTCGTATTTGCTCATTCGTCATAAAAGGTAAATAAAATGTCAGTTGCAACAGAGGCACAACGACAGTAGGTGAGACCTTAGAGCTAAGAGAAAAGAAGACATAACCATGGGATGGTTAAGTTTTGACCCAAAATAACTGCAACCATATTGCCGCACACTCTGAGGATTTGTTTATTTTCGTGTTCTATTTGCGTATTTCCTTTTCTTAAAGCATGTATTTCTTTTATTTTCTTAAATTATATAAACTAAATTGCTTTGTTTATCCGTCTTCGTAGACGAAGATAGTCACTACTTGTGATGATGTACGTGAACAGCGAGCCCCCTTATTAACACCATCTTTCCGTTATAAATAAATATAAATACACTCTTAAACATTTTGAAATTTGTAGATTGTGGCGGCATGGTTTCTGGACCAGGTGGCGCAATCACTATGATGAACATGATTGAAAATAGTACCGATGTGAGATTCTACGACTGCATATGGATTATTAAGCCCGGCAACAATTACATGATGATGAAGACGCACATATCATTGCGCGTCGAGGAGTTCCATGGCATGGCCTCACGGTCCGATCTGACAATACGTCAGGGCACTACATCCGATGCTGCCGAAATCGAGAGTGTTGTTTGGCCCAATAACGGTATGAGTAAGGAAAGTCATATTGTGCCGGTGTTAACGGGATATTATATACGATTGCGTGGCGTCTTCGGTATGTCGTCTAAATTGGCGATTTCCTATAGTGTATTCAATTATTTAAGTAAGTGTTCTTATCAATGAAACTACGGTTGCCTTTGTATTTGTGGATTAACTGCTTGTCACATCACTTGTCATGTAGATTGTTATATTGGCTCGGAATTTTTGTGCGGCAATAATCATTGCATCTCCATAAGACTACATTGTGACGGTTTCGATCATTGCGGCGACGGCTCAGACGAACCGGAGTCATGCGAAGAGGATTGGGCGCATTTGCAGAATGATCGTCGCTGGTATTCGCATAAGCCGAATTATTACTTTCCCAAAATCGAACAATATCCTGACCTAAAAACGGCTACTGGAATATTTATAATAAGTACACTTGGCATATTTGCCGTGCTAACGGCATGGATGGTGATATTGTATCGGATGGGGGTTAGAGCACGCCATCAGCGCGAACTGCAGAATCATCTGCAAACTATAAGCGAATTATTGGGTAAGCAAACTCCTTTTCGAAAATGTTTGTTTCAAAGAGAGATAAGATTTTTTTTTATAAAACCTTTGCCCAAACACTTAGTTCGTACAACTAAGATGCTGTGAGGTAGGGGTGATTACAAATAGACCGAACTTTTTCATGCACTAAGCAAAAAGAAACTTAATGTTCTTGTATGTAGATGTATTTACGAGGCATTTTACCCTGTGATATAATCTTCAAAAGATAGGTAAGGTTGAATCAGCTTAGTACAGAGCGAAGAGAGGTTGGCAATCTACTTCGCAAGTATTCAGCTCTCAGCCGACGATGCTCTGAGCGCGATCTTCCCGATATGGGGCAAGCATAGAAAAGGAAATAGCACAATTTATTAAATCCATCGAACTGTTCGCTAACCCAAAGTAAGGATATACGGGAAAGCGTAATGAGCCTACTTGATCGCTTCAGTGCGGCCGCTTTCGGTCAGGTCCTTAACTCAACTAACCACATGCTTAATTTACAGTACATCAGAGAAGCTGTGTAACCAATTTATTTAAACTTAAATTTTACCTAGGGCAAAGGTGGTGGACCTCAATCCATCGGAAAACACTGGCGGCGGCTGAATTAGACATTAACAGTGCGTACTGAGTTTGAGTTCGGGTCAAACCAATATTCGAAATTATAGAAAATTATTTATAAATAAATTGCGGTAGCCCCTCGGCAGAAATGAAAAAGCTTCCCATAAGAATCCATCACCTGTTCGATGGCGACTTAGAGCAAGCAGCACATCCCGACATTTGTTGGAAAAAAGGTCAAAGGAGACACAACGAATTGGAGGATGAGCACGAACGAAAATCACTTCGGTGCTAATTATAAATGTAGCAATGAAGAGAGGACTTTTCAAATAACGATTAAAAATAGTTGCTAATTCCACAGTATTATTAAACTAACTTTAAACATATACTATATATGTATATGTTTGTAATAGTTTATTAGATTCAACATTTTTCTATAAACTATTAATGAGGAATACAATTTTACATTAACAGATCGTCAAGAGGAGATGTCACCGGACGAGCCCCCAAGTTATGAAGCACCACCTGACTATGACGAGGTTATCAAAGTGGGCATGGAACAGGAAATACGTGATGCACGCCAACGTCAACGTCGCCGCCACCAACATCATCCTGGCTGCGGACAATCCACTTGTATTGTTCCACATACCCACTCTTGCGATCGTCCAACTACATCGGCGGCAGCTGCGGCTCTCACACTCGGTGGTACAGTACCTGTAGATGGTGCAGGCTCAATAGCACCAGATGCAGAAATACGTAATGAATTGGCCAATCGTGTACTAATGGCGACCGCAATTTGTGGTAATGCTTATTAATGACGCCCATATAAATATATATATCATACAAATATATGTATATAAATATGTTATGAATATTCTGCCTGCTCTTTTTCACACTCTCACAATTCACATGAGCTCTACAAAAGCTAATATTTTTCTATTTATTAAATCTAAGAATCACATTTACAGGCCCTGCAGGCGCGTCAGAGCCGAGCTCAACAACGCAGGGATGCTGTTGCTGTCAATCCATGGGGGTTCCGACGTGCCCGTCATCGCTTCCCGTTGGGTGCGAATTATCCCCTACCGTTGGTGAACAACCGGAGGTCGCAACCAGCTCGTAAGTACATACATACGTGCATATGCAAATAAAGGGTGTACCAAAATGAACACAAGATTGGAATTAAATAGAAAACCCAAGTTTTAGTAACTTTTTTTTATTGAATAAATATATAGGATAGGGTTATTTATGGTATAATATATCGGGCAAATGGCGTACACGGCTTTTCATGCACTTGGGCACTCGTCAGCTGAAATTTTCCATGACTTCTGCCCAAATGTGAGAAAGTACGAGAACTGAATGAAATGTCTCATGCTGTAATTGAAGTATTTCACAGTTTGAATGAGACCTGGAACCGTCTTGTTGAAACTACATATTGGCCACATCAATGTGATCCAATTTTCGGGTTATCATGTTGCGATATCGAGCACCAGTAACAGTCACTGCTTGACTAGCCTCATTTCAAAATAGCACGCTTCCAGTCCAAAATCCACACTAAACAGGGATACGTTGTTTTTTTAAGTTGTCCACACTTTACCACATAAAAGGTGGCAAATTTAAATCATGCGTTAATGTTGGGCCCACTTAAGAGACTATAACCAACTTGGATTGAAAAATTATCATACTCCTCAATTAACACACATTTTTTTTTAATATCTTTCCAGTGCCGGAACGCCGAGTCAACTTGAGGAACGAAGTGACGAATTTAGAGATGACTCACTCAATATATCGCTCTCTCTAGGCATACCACACACAACAATGGTTCTCAGTGAAAATAGTAAGTCCCTCATGAAATCAGATATCAAATACATGTACTTTTGTTTTTTAATTAAGAAAAAACCTTAACATTTTTAATTTACTTTTAATTAAAAATAAAAGCTAAACATTTTCATCCAAAAATTATGTCCAGGGTTTTCCAATAAGAGGTGTTATTATGAAATTTTTCACCACCAAATCGAAAAGTGGCTGCTGTATGCTCTGAATAGCTTCAGGAATTTCATCTCTGAGGTCTTGAGTCGAAGTTGGTCTCTTGGCGTTGACCATATCTTTCACGTGGCCTTGAAGGAAGATGTCGCAAGTTGTTAAATCATAAGATCTCGGCGGCCAATGGTGATCACCTATTCGAGATGGTTTCGTTGCTTGTGTGGCACGTAGCGCCGTCTTGTTGAAAGCAAACGTCATGCAGATCAAAACCATCCATTTGCGACCACAAAAATCATTAATCTTAACTCGATAGGAAAATCCATTAACTTTTCCGAAAAAGTAAAGAAAAATAACCTCGCCGCACCGTAAACCACACCAAACAGTTATGGGTTGAGGATGCAGAGGCTTTTCAACAATAAGTCTTGGTTTTTCCTAGCCTCGGATGCGACAGTTTTGCTTATTTACGTGGCCTTCGAGGTAGAAATGGGCATTATCAGTCAAGATAATTTTTCAATGCAATTTTTATAGTGAAATTTAATATTTTCTATGCGTTGTTGATGCGTGTATCCTTCCACTTTTATTACTGGCGTAGTTTTTACTGGTCAAATGTCAAAAAATTACAGCTTCTAAAGTGATTTATGCCGCCTATTCTTATTGGAAAACCCTTTACATACATACTTATATAGATTAAAAGTTATTTGTAACCAAAGCAAATTCATAAAGGTGAGAGCAGGAATATAAAACAACAGTTATTATATGGAAAATTAATTGGCTCTTAAAAAACAAGCTCTCTCTTTCACTTTTTTCGCGTAAGCCACATCGCAAAATCCCACTTTTCAAAGTGTTCATGTCAAATAGAAGAACAAATTCAAGCAAAAAAAATTAAACTGAAAAATAATTTTGACATTGACGTGGTCAATGAATAAAAAAAAAACATGAATTCGCTGTCATTGTAATGGCAACTTGTTAAATTCGCCTTGCTTATAACTGTTTCATATATATGTATAATTCATGAATGTATGTAACCATTGTTATAATCCCGAATTAAATGAAAATCATACGTTTTGTCTAAAATATCGTTAACTTTGAGGTTAGATCCCAAAGTATTTAAGACCAACTCATGTGCTCAACGTCCTAATCAAACGATTAATTATATTTCGTTAGATTCAAATATTTCATCCCGCCCCAAGAGTACAACTAACTACAGCGAACAAACTTATTTGAAACGTTCGTGGGTCGTCGTAAATAACGGTACACATAATTACAAAATTCAACGCTTGCGTCATACTTTCTCGGTGCCAGAATCATTTCCATTTGACGCTTATTACCCTGATGTTATAAATTATGGCACCAATCTACCACATGAACGGTGAGTTGAGAATTTATCTTAACATCCATATTTCCATATACTCAAAAGAGCATATACTCTCTCTCCTTTCCATAGCCACCTTTTTCTCAGCAATGCTAGCAACTTTGGTTCCGAGCTGTCAAGAGATCCATCTGCACATTGCATCAACACTCGACGTCTTCAACAACAGCAATTTGTTCCAACATCAACACCACAACAACGCAATGCTATACTCCAACTTTACAATGAGAGCCCAGTTAATACCAACACAACGGACACTGCGGCTCAAATAACAACACACAACCAAACTCACCAAAACCAAGCAACTGATCCTGACAATTTATGTGAGCATTTGCTACACAATGAAATGGATAGTGATTGTGAGCGTGAAGTTTCGTGTTTTGGTGCGGTTAGCAAAAGTAAATGTGCGAGACGGGGCCACGTCAGACGTCATGTGCGTAGCAAATCCTTCACAAATTCAACTAGCAGCCAACAACGTCACCACCAACGAAATACTGGAGGGGGTGTAATGAGACGAAGCTCATCAGCAGATTTGCTACTACGTTTTAGTCCAGTTACTTCACCTAAGCAGGAGGAATCGTTTAATGGCTTGGGTGGTACAAAACAACAATATCCAAAGCATGAAGAACTAATTTATTTAATTTAATGAAAGTTGGGAAGAGCTTCTAACGGTCGGCTGTGATTGTGGAATTGGTATAAATTAATTTAAAGAAGACAAGCTTGGTGGCTATGATTTGAATGTGATTAGTTACTAATTTTCTAATGTAATCTATTATTTATGTTATTACTCAAATCGACATTGTAAAAATATATTCCTAAATATGTGTGTATTATTCCTTATTGCCCTATTTATTTATCACTTTTATGAGTATGTAAATCAAATGGTATATAATGTGTATTACGAAGACATGGAAATTTAACGCGCCGTGGATTTAAATAAAAAATAAAATAATTTGATAAAGACATTTGTATATCCTCCTTTACCTCTTCGTTTCTACCCATGTAGAGCTTCAGAGAGGTAAGGAGATACCAATCTGAAGGTGCTAGATCACCGGAATTTGCGGCTTGGTTCGGTGCATCTCATTTAAACGAGGGTTTCTTCGTGGCGTTGGCCGTGTGTGCTCTGGGATTGTCTAGCAGCAGGCACATTCCTTTTGGTCAGCATGCCTCCCATTCTCTTTTAGACCACTTGCAGACACTACCACTATTCATAGCTTTATCGCCATTTACAGTTTTCACCTCATTTTAAATCTCAAACAGCAGTTTTCCCTGACAAACCAGATGACGGATGACGCCACGTATTTTAAATTTGGCGCGAGACTGACATTGTTCCCGAAACGGGTTGTTGCACCGACAGTTTTCAACGTACTGATCTCGAACCGGTCTCGTTGCACAGCGGAGAAGTCTGGCTAAATTACCGTGTTCCCAAGACGACGAAAACAAAATCCTTTCAGGCATGATAGCCACGGTGCAATTACTTGCTCGACGGGGACTTTTTCAGCAATTTAAATTTGTGATGCTCAGCTAACGATGCCGAAATTACTTTTTTACGGGCTTGTAGTTTCTTCAACTGCAACTTGCTCGTCCTTGGCGCACAAAACGGTGCTACGTAAATAGCCGGCCGTTATCCCACTAACACGTTTTATTTATCTTTCCCAGGCTGCCGGCTGTTTACTAGCCAGACTAGACAATAGCGGCCGACTGCGAAATGAAGGCTGCCGAATGTCAAACCGGCGTAATCCGGCTGGCGAAAAGGGTCGTCGTGTACTTCGATCGTGATAATTTTAAATGTCGTAGCTTAAATATCGGAGAGATATCACTTTACCTTTCTTCTCATGTTGGAATCTAGCAACGGGTGGGCCATTTTTTGTTTAAAAATTATAATACGAAAGACGGATAAATATTTTTGAATAATTTTGCCTCTTTTGAAATGCCTCATGCTGGCGGCTGGCCTCATAGTGGTTCAGTCTGCCGAACCAAATTTTTCAACACATTCGATTGTGTGGCCCCTACAGCAGCAAAGGCAACTTAATAACATAAACCGTCTTGGGTTGTTTGGTGTTGCACGTATCCTTTACGACTTCCCACAAGAAATAATCAAATCGGAACCTAACAGCAACTGCGTCGCAACCAATTGACATCGACCGTTCGACTAGTTTTACGGCGATTTTTGAACAAAGTCCGCAAAAACCAATTGTGTCACACATCGTTCATGTCATTCTCTTTAACATCGACTGTAACGATTTACATTGTTTTCGAAGAGTAACGGGCTAAAGATGCTTCTGGTCCATAAGCCGCAATAAGAAATAACTCATAGAGAATGCATTGCCATTTTTGGCGGCAATTTTTCTTATTAACGTTACCAAAAAGATGCCTTTTTGGTTAAAGGGTCTACTAAAATTCTGAGAAGCAATCTGCAAAACTCAATTAGCGAGACGATATCGCAATGGAACTTGAACTTTATAGGCCTTCATATCGTGGTCTTTACTCTAAATCCTGTTCAGAGTGCTGCGCGACGTCCGAAAGATAATGAATCGGTTTGGCATGCTGGCTGCAATTGATTCACAAACTATCTCGAATTTCGTAATTTTCTTACAGTTGCGGTTAGAGACTCAACATCTTAATAACAAGTTTTCAATATTTCCCAAACTTCTTCAAGAGTAAACTTAACCATTTCGGCAACCGCAAAACTTGAACTCCCCAAAGGATGAAGTCGTAATGTGATAAATAACAAGGCCTCGGTGGTGATCACTTCTTTGAGTGATAACATGAACCGAAAACTTTTCACTTAAAAGAACAATATTGCTTTTACTTCAGCCTCATTTTCGAAATAGAAAGGTCCAATGAAAGAAAAAGATTTTGTGTAAGATTTATGGTACTCTACGAGTTGGGAACGGCCAATACCGCAGCCGATAGAACGATGTGCTGTATGAGATATACAGCGACATCAACATAGTGCAGCGTATAAAAAAACAGCGACTGCGCTGGCTAGGTCATGTGATCCGGATGGAAAGAATACTACAGCTTTGAAAGTTTTCGATGCAGTATCCGTCGGTGGAAGCAAAGGAAGAGGAAGACCTCTGCTCTGTTGGAAAGATCACGTAATAGAAGCATTTTTCATATATTTAATGAGTATGTGCCACAGCGAAGCGTTGCAGGGTACATCTAGTCTACACATATAAAAGGCTTTGTCCTGAATGACTGATTCAACCCGTAACTTGTACGGTGTTCTTGGTGTTCTGCGTTTGACATATGCACCGGAAAAGAAAGGATTTTCTGGGAAGTGATAAAAAGAGCGATTTATTAAAAAAAATTTATTTTTTTTTTCAAATCGCTTGATTTATACGAAATTTGGTACGCAAGAATCTCTTTGCCTAAGTTGACATATGGAACAGTTTTTCTTCAGAGAAGTGAGCCCCGAGACCTTTCTATTCGAAATATTTTCATTTATTTTGTGCTTTACATAGAATTTGATATAACACAAATTGCCATTGGGAACACTTTTACCACAGGGAAGTGTACCCGGGATCGAGTTTAATTTCAAAACTTTTTTATTTTCCACGATTTTTGGTACGCAGGAATCTCTTTGCTTAAGTTGTTGTGGAGAATAGTTTTTCTTCGGGTAAGTTAAGCAGGGGCCGATTCAATGGTTCGATTTACTAGATATCTGCAACATAGATAGCTCTTTGCCTTCACTAATATGTATGTGGAAAGTTTTGCTTTACTTTTCTTATATTTTAACATAGCAGGTTATAAGTTACAATAAAAGAAACAATGTTAAAACCTATTTCATGTGGAAAAAAGTATAAAACATTTTGTTCTTAACAATTTTTTGATGAGAGTGTCTCTTGGTGAATATTTTTCTAATTTTCGCTAATCCAGTTACTCCCCAAATTACTTCAAATAAATACATTATTTTGCTAACTTTTGTTTGTCATTTAAAAATTCGCAATAAACTTTTATTTTCTTTATCTAAAGAGAAAAATATATGTATATCCATAAATTTCAATGCAAACCCATAAGTAATTTGTGAAAGAATAAATAAAATGTTTGTAAATCGCTAACTATTTATGTAGGTGGCTAATAACATACATATATTTATATTGCGACTGTCTTCTCGCACAAAAGCTATGTCAATCAAATTTTCTAACTTAGGACAGTGTACAAAGCACAATAGTTTCATATTATGATCATTGCTATATTTATAGATAGATATACATACATACATACATATGTATGCATGTACTAAGCCTTAACGTATTTATAAATACGTAAATATATGGTGTTATATATACGATTATATGTATATATTTGTTTATATGTACGAGTATATATGAAATTGATTATGTGTGCAATTACGTGAGTATTATTATTAAGCCTTATAATAATATACATTTTTTGAGAAACATTTTTCTTTAGTTAATTCTTTATATGTATGTTAGCGTAATATTTAATCTTTCATGTAGGTCGACATTTAAATCAATGTTGGCTGCGGTTCCATGAGCTGTCGGAAGCGATCAGCTGCGTTATTAGCCGTACCAACAGTTGCATTAGCACCAACAGCAACAACACCACCAACACCCACACCAATTACTCGCCCATCTACGCTGTTGTCCAAGGGCACTAATGTGTTGCGTAAACTATCGATGCTATTACGCAGCTTGACGTTCTGAAATTTCGCTGATAATTTTGGAGAACCTCCTACAGAAAATGCTTTAAACTCCTGCATAATGGCGAGCATTAAAATGAGACAATTCAAACAACATATTAATATCAATTTTGTTTTTTTTTTTTTATAAAAATTTCATGCGTTAAATATATTAATAATGGAACTAAACATTTTTTGTATACAAGAATGCAGTATTCAACGAAACACTTAGATAATAATTTTTAGCGAACGCGTATTTATGTAAGATATACAAAGGAGTGAAAAACAAGAACTTATACATATGCACATATGTAAGTATATTTAAATTTTTCTTGGTGATGCATAAACATAAATGAATGTGTAAAATTCCATATTCAACTAATTTTTCCACTAATTCTATTGTAAATAAATGAGACAAAAAATAAACAATTCAAATAAAAGTAAATTCAAGCTTAATCTAAAAATTAATTTGTAATAAAATTTGTATTGCGTATAAGGTCACTAAATCTTATGAATTTATTTTAATTTACAAAAATATAAGCGCAAATGGATTCAAATCAAATTGTAGAATTTTCCAATTATTTATAAGCATTTGTAATGCTTTATATTGTCATGTAAAGGATTCTTAAAAACATTCAAGCAAGAAAGTATAAATTACAACTACTTAAATTATACAGGGTTCACAAAGTTTTTGGAGAGATTAATATTGAAAAATCATTTGCATAAAGAGAAGCCATTAATTTGTTGCTTTGTCGATATATATATATATATTTAAGTTACCTGATTACTGCTAGGTGAATTAGTCTCGCTACCAGCTGCTGATGTACTAGCAGATGCATGTTGCGTATATGATTGGAATGTTGGTAAGGTAGCATCACGACTGCCACGTGTTGTTACCTTCTCTTGTAGTGAATTAAGTGTTTTTGAAAGCCATGGTTGCCAACTATTGCGATTGGCGTGCATTTCAGTTATGGTGGCGGTCAACTGATGAGTCAAACTTTGATTGCGGCATTCTGCCTCAACGTGTTGTAATTTTGCGTGTGCTAATTCCAACTCCAGCTCACGGATACGTTGTGCTGCAATATTTATTGGATCAAGCGGGCCAAGTGGTGCTTCTGTTGTCAACATCTCCTGACATTGTTGTATTTCTCTAATACTCATTTTTCTGGTGATTACAGACGGGAGTTTTACGCTGTGATCAGTATTTTCCATTTTTTGAATACAATTCTTGCACTTGGACACAATGTTCTGTGAAATAAATGTGGGAAGTGAAAATTAATCAGTACTAAAATAATTATCCCTTTTATTTATTTCAAAAATATAATAATAATGCTTTATCAATGTACTGATTGCCAAAGTCACTCTCACTGTAGCAAATTTCTTACCATCACGTTTCCCAGCGACTCATTGTAGTTGGTCATATCATTTTCCAATCGTTGAATTATTTGCTTATAGTCTTGAATTATGCCTGTGTGTTTCTTTTCATTTTCTACTGCTCGTTCATTAGCTTCACTCAATTTCTTTTGCAGTTCATCAATCTCCGCTTGCAATTTGCGCCTTTCGTCTCCAAAACGATTTTCATAGATTTGTGCCTCCTTTTCCATACGTTCTTTGTGCTGCTTTTTCAATTGGAACTCTTCCTCGTACTGCTTCAATTTTTTGATTTTTCGTTCGCAAGCCATTTTCATAACTCGACGTGCCTGACTAGGGCTTCGACATTTCTTCGGTAGCGTTACGCGAAAATACTTAAGTATACCTTCGAAATCAAGTTGACGTAAGTCAGGCTCACAGATGGATAGCAAAGTTATAGCGACTTGAAATAACAATGGCATGCCGTCGAGAAGGAATACATCGAGTACGTGAAATACGAAACATAGTGGGAAACGTGCTGTGAAGAGTGTAAGAAACCATTGCGAGGCGTACATGTGTGTTTCAATGCCACATGCGACAAAATGTTCATATAATTTGGGTAATTGATCTTTGATTAAACGGTCAAGTTGATATAAGCGCAAGTAAAGTGCTTCAAAACCTTGCTTATACATTTCACGGAGTCCATAATCGTACATAAGTGCAGTCAGCACACAAAATGCGTCTTCTTCAGGCATCTAAACAAATAAATATGTCGTCAGTTGTTTTTTTATTTTTTTTTTGTTTAGAAAAATATTACTTAATTTAGAAGCTTAAATTAAAATCTACAATTTCTAAATATGTGCTAAGGCGAATTAAAGAACCTTAGAATAGCACGGCAGCGAATTCAATATTCATTGGTTCTGTTGTTTCCCTTGGTGCTACTGTTGTTGCAGCTACGCGTATCGTCGGGCACAGAGCTTATTAGCCAGAGAGGATGGTTGCAGGACCTTAAATGCTAATCAAACTTGATCCGCTTGTGTTGGTTAATTTTACGCTGAATCCCCTTATTGAGATATCTGAAGAGATCACCGGGCTCGGTATGACGTATGTAGTCACCCCTGGAACCTAAAACCGCCGCTTGTGTGGGAAAATTTACGGATTTACGCTGTTCGACCTGCCGAGATGAAGCAGGCGCTTGCGGACGCGACTATCACGATTACGCTGACTTCGGTTGAAATGAGAAAAACATTGAATGTGTTTTCGGTAAATTCCTTGAAGCCAGGCTTTCTAAAGCTTTGTTAAAGTAAACTAACGAAAACAAAGTCAGCAGGCCTATCAATCAAGACAGTTATGGCCAAGGAGACGGATGCTAGCGTCAGCATAGGTCGCTCGCTTAAAATTGGAGGCCATGCTGTGGCGAGCTCCATTGGACCGTGGACGTCTGAGGGTAGACCAAAGTGAACTAAAGTGGTAGGGGTGTAGCGAAAGCTTGGAGCGCAGTTGAGCGCTGACAGCCCAGGGCCACGTAACGCGTGATCCACTCCCTATTTGTCTTAAAGCCTGATCAGGCCTTAATAAGGCTTTAGCCTTTGCACTGGTTGCACCTGTGTCAGTCGAACCAGGGCCCGAGTGGCCGTAGGCCACCAAATGTGTTTAAGAGTTTCGCTGCGGTGGCATTAATATGTAAGTCCCTAAATGACTTCTAATTTCTATTCAATTTTCTGATGATAATCATATCTAGAATATAAAATTGTCACTGCACCGAGAAAAACAGTTATGCGTCTAATAATATGTAGAGAAAATAATTTTTCAGATTCATATTTTAACAGATAAACACGTTTTCATGATTTTAGTTGCTACCAGGCAACCAAAATAATAAAAAGATTTTATTTAAATTGGTGCCTTTCCAAAGAGAACGTTTTGGAAAATGAAAATAACAGCTTCTCATAAAACCCATCAGGCTCAGACTCGGAAGAAGCTTACAACTATAAGTATAAAGTCATAAGTAATAACTATTTGTAGGAATAACTTGAAGATGCATTCCACCATTCGGAAGAGCAACTCGATTGAAATACAGTTAAGTAGCTATATAACCCTTTTTATACATTTATATTCAGCTATTTAACTGCCTTTTTTCATGCGACATCACTGCTGCTGACGTGCTTAATCAAAGGAAATATAAAAAACAAAGGAAGAGATATCTCAAAAAAATGACGACATTCGATATTATCGTCAGTATTATCAAAATTTGCAAATCAAAATATTTTAAAACTATCGTATAACTGTTTTAAGGCGTATCAATTAAACTTACATGCAATAACAGGCTAGCGGCAATGAAACTTAAACCCTGGCAATAACCAACTTCGCTATCATATACGGCATATGCCTTTGAGACCTTAAAAAGTGAGTCTTGTCCTATAAAAAAAATTATATTAATTCAATAAAAAGAGAAGTTTATTATTATTATGTCTTTCTTACCAGAACCACCAGTTTCTTTGAAACATTTATGTGCTGGGAAAGTTCTGTGTATATCCCGTTGTATAACAGTTTCACATTTTGTTTCCTGCAATCGTATTTCAATAGTTTGTATTACGGTGATTAATACCACGTTTCATTGTCGTTTACTTACTTTGGTTATTAAAATCTTGTACATGTCCAGCATTTCGGTTTTGCTCTCAACATTTGTCAGCTTCTGCCATATTTTTTCACGTAAAGCTTCTGGTATACCTAAACGTACTAATGGTGCCAAATTTTTTGGTCTTTTCTCGCCATCCCATTCCTTTAGTATTGGATCCCATTCATCTAGTTTGTCTTGTGAGCATTCCTTAGATACTTCACCAGTACCACTCAATAATGGTTCATCACCATCACTACTATAGTCTGTGGGGCAATCATCCTCAATAGATATACTCGATGAGGAACGTACAATACGTGACAAGTTATTCATTCCAAACTTTAAAAGTGAACTCGACTGTGTTGGTTCATTTATTTCCTCAGAGGGATCAATTGAGTTAACTTTCCAATTGAATTCGTCATTAGTGCGTTCCAGTTGTAAATAAAAACGTAAAGTCATTGGCCGCTTGGATATAAAGTGATCCATAATACGTATCTCACTTGCCGACTGTATTACGACCGGTGTCTCGATTACAAAGCGCACAGGATCGCGTATTCCACGCACCACTATATCCACAGCTACAGTAAGAAAATTTTTAGACGCCTCAACATTTAATTGTTCAAATGCAGCTTCGTTAGCTTTCCATTCAGCACGTATTACATAGGGATTTAGGCAATGTTGCATAGCTGCCGAACCAAAAGCATTTTCGCCAGAAGCTATACTTCCAGAAGTTGCATTGTTTCCATTACCCCCACCAGCGGTGGTGGTGGGCAATTGATAACTCATGCTCACCATATCAATTAGTTGCATATCGCCCTGACGCACCAATTTTCCAGGGCTCAATAGTACACCGAAGCAACGCTCTATAAATAACGGTTGTAATATATTTGAAGATGTTTGCTTCACCGTAATAATAACTTCTTTGTCTGTATTTGCGCGCAATTTGAAACAATTTCGATCACGTGGCACAGCCGAAAAGGAGTTCTTAGCGACTTTTTCACGAATTTCCAAAGACACTATAAACTCATAGCCGGCAGTATTTATTGGATTTCCACTCACATCAGATGTTATGGAGTTCATATTATTGGTGTCAATAGCTGAGGTTAAGCTACATGTCAAGCTTGGCGGATATGTACGAAAGGCCTTTTGGAAACATGCTATAAATATAAGGGAAATTATACAACTGATAATTGTAAGGAGTTATTTGCTATTTTTAAAACTCACCGCTGACTTGATTGACCGCTTCGGGTATATGGCAACGGAAAACATGGCACTGAAACAGCGAATCGCCATGTAACCAAGTAAATGCAAAGCAACCATTTTCAGATGTTTCTACCGGACCGCGAAAGTATAAAATAATGCTTTGTATCTCATAGGTGGCTATAACAGAGTTGGTTTCAGCGTCGTGCAATCTACATATGTACATATATATGTATATAAATTTGTAAAAGTAAACGATTATTTTAAATTAAGACAGATTAATGCATGCAATAAAATAAGTTATAAATGTTACTCACACAACGAGTCCGTCCGAACAGTTAGGTATGCTTACTGATATTTTAAGCCCAACCGACTCTGAATTACTATTTAATTCATTCATTATACGGTAAATGTCAATTTCCGACTTTGGCGCATTTATATTTGCAGCTCCTAAATACGTGACACCCGAAAATATGGTGCAGCCCTGATCTATTTCCGAAACTGAAAAACATATATATTATTTAAAATAACACTTTTTGGAGCAATATATGTACATATGTGCATATAATTACACAAACATACGATATAAATTACTAGAAACACATATGTATAATACATAATAAACACAGGAACGATGAAGCAAACGTTAAATAAAAAAAAAATAAAACTGATTAAAAGTTTAATAAAAGAAATTTGGAAATAGGTTATAAGAAGCCCAAGGGCTCACCTTCTTCATCTGTATCATTTTTCTCCGGCTTCATGAGATCCTGTTTCTCTTCGACGCCAGCACCACCAACACCCCCTGGGCTTGCATCAATACAATCATAAAATACCGATTGGCCAACACGATTATGTTCCGATGTTGACGCGTCATCGCTTTTCGGTGTTACAGTGAATTCAGTGTTATGGCGATTTTGTGGTTGTGACTTCATTGCAGTATTCGATGGAACTAACTGTTGCTGTCCACAGTCGATTGCTGGAACCAGCAATACCGGGCTCGAAGTACCAGCTAATGGTAATGTCAGAGATTTTTGTTTATTCAACGCCACCGCCTTGGGTGCTGCAATATACACGTATATTTATGTAAAATATAAGTGCAGTCTTATATAATATAGTGGTAATACCGTGAGGTTTAAATATTATTTTAATTACTACATTTATTCAATGGGGAGATGAGAGGCGTTTTTGTTATCGTTATTTCATGACGTTGCTATGAAACCAAATGTTTTGTTTGATTAACAGATGTTTGGTATGTATACGTGCATATATGTACATATATATATGTGCATTTATAATTTTTTATATAAAATACTCTACCACCAGTCTTTCATGAAACTTTGGATTTCAAAATACTTTAAATCATTTATTTAATTCGGAAACACTACGAGTATTATTATGTTTATATGTATATATATAAATATTCATTTCTAAAAATGTACCTAGTCATCTTCATATTTGACACAGTAAAATTTAGAAACATGTCAACCTTATTTTATAAAAAAAAACAGATATTCATGCATACATATATAATTATATATCACCAATGTTGGTTCTGGCACTGGTCTGAATACTATAGCAGGTTAAACTCCTATCAATCCAGACTCGACCACAACATACCCAAACTATGCTCAGCAAGTGGAGAATCTTCGCACGACACTAACCATTTCTACACATACCCCCTTAAGTCGACACACCAAACCCCCCTCTCCCTCTAGTCCGATCCCGTCGAAACAGCACGTTTCCTGGACCGTTAGATGACCGCGGTGACTTAGATTGATTTTAAACCTGTCCTTAATCGGGGTTAGCCTAGCCGCTACAACAGCAACAACAACCAATGTTGGTCAGAAATACCGTTATGCCAACAAGAACCAAATTTGATTGAATTTGATGTGTTTATTCTAAATATTCTATTTTCAATGTGTAGAGGGTAAAAATTTCTTGTCGAACTTCATGTGACTCTGTTCTTTGCTTGGGAATGTGACTTCTGTAAAGCTTCTATTTTCGAAATTTCTTTTAAATCTAGTACCTTTCTAAAATTTTTAAATAAAGGATTTGGAATAGTCAGAATTTCCAAAGACTGATATTTAAGAAATTTTAAGTGAATCCGTAAAATCCGTAATGAGTTCTTCAAAAAATACTACAAAGCCCGCCGGGCGTTTCAGAACGCTCGTGAAAAAATACAACAGGACTTTCCAAAAAGAGATGTTTTTTTGAGACAAATGATCAGTTATTATTTCAATGCAAAGAAAGGAATCGCTAGGTTTTAAATCACAAGTTCTCGGTGGCCAATAGAGATTACCTTTTCGAGAGATAACACGGCCCAAAAACCAATCAGTAGTTTCTAATGAAATCGAAATAGCTTTTGGAAAATATATGAAAAACTAACTTCTAATAAAAGGATTTTCGTAAACTTTTTCAACTTCCATTTTTATAAGCTTTTGTTTTTTTTTTGGATTTTTTTTAAATTATTTTTTTAATTAAAAAAGCTTCGATTAGGCTTTAGATTATCCATTAATTCAAGTTGTATATCTAAGGGTTTCCCATTGGCAGCGGAAGGCACAAACAGGTATAGACTTTAGTACTAAACACAAAGTAATGATCCCAAGTTGCTGTTGGTCTATAATGTTTATATAAAATGTCATGTGTGAACATCAAAATCGGATTTTAGAATTAAATTAAACAAGACATCAACTTTAAATCTATTTTGGAATTGTTGTCATGGGAACTATTTATTTGTCTTGCCTTTCGCAAGGAGCTACACCTGATGCGTCTAGAAAGACTCTGCTAAACCTTGCGTCTTTCTATACAGGTAATTATTATGCCAAAACAAAAAAAGCTCAAATGTATTACAATAATATTATATATTTTTAAAACAATCTCAAACTGTATGAATAAAAAGTTTAAAATACATAAATTTGCAATTTCGCTCCTACCTGTTGAAGAAGTGTCTGAATGAGCATCTATATCACGCAAAGCATCCTTCATTGCGTGTTGCAAGTCTGTAATATCGCGATTATTGGCAATATTAAGCGTTGGTGATTTGTTATTCATCGGTGTTGACAAAATAGACTCGTTGCCTGACATTTGTTCTATTGGTGATGCAATATTACTTTCGGAAACAATTTCATATTCTCCACTTGTAGTTAATGAGGATTCAGAAGACTTCACACTAAGGTTATCATCCATGACTCGTTATCAGATATATTTATACCGGCGAATATTTTCCGATGTAAATGTGTATATTTTTCTTTTTTCCCGATTAACAAATTTCACTTTTTTCTTTATTGTTGTATTTATTAGCAGGAGCAAATGCTCTGTTCGTACTGGCTTCTAGACTTTCAGATAGGTAAATGAAAGCGATGTGCGAAAGGTCATACAAATGTGTATGTATGTATGCTAGAATGTTACTCCAGGTAGATATGTAAGTGCGTATTATAAGGGACGGCCGCGTTTCGTTTTGAACAATACTCAAGGTTTACAATGGGTAAAGCAATGAAAATAAAACTACAGTGCAATACTTAGCTGGTATTCCATGATAATTCGTTTTGCGCTTGGTTCTTTCACATTTTAAAGTTGTTATTTTTAAACTCGACTACATTATACGACCCATGTGGTTTACTTTTTTCTGTAACTTTTCTCAAAACGTGAACTGCAAGAAATATGTATGTAAAATAAAAATAATCAAATTATTGGGATACTATTGCATGTTTCTTTTGTTTGTGCTGATCTATGATGACGAATCATAACCACTGTTGCAGCTTGGGTGGTTAATATGAAGCATGCAAACACATTTGGGTGGGTGGTGCACCCGTTCCCTGCACTAACATCCAGTTACGATTCGGTACTTATATCAAATTTGGTCATACGCAAAAACATCAAAGCCTTATTACAAACATACCTTTTTTTTTTAGAAAAAAGGAAAATTGTTTTTATTTGAAAAATTTACACACATATATACATATATATATATAATGCTTTCACATTGGCTTTTTGTTTTGATATTGATTTTCATAAATTTCACGACAAAATTTTAAGCTATTCGCGTCGCTGAACATTTCTCCTCCGTTCATAACTTTTATGAAAATTTTTTCAAACTGCTCTTTGTTTTTATTTTCTATTCAAAAATGCTACCATCCGTAATTTTTTTAGAATAATTTAAAACACATACCTTACAAGTCGTCTTCACGCGATTGAAAATCCGTCTTACTGTGGCATACATGAAATGCATGCCCCCTCAAACCCACTTATCTAACCCCCCTCTCCCTTTGATCCAACCCCGTCGAAACAGCTCGTTTCCTGGACCTACCACTAGATGACCTCGGCGACTTAGTCTGATGACACCTGTGCCTAAGCGGGGTTGGTGAACCGCTACAACAACAACAACATTACTACTCGGTATTGACAACGCATTATATAAGAGAATAAAGTGTAAATAGTCGAGAGTTGGAGTTGCAATATAAATCGTCGTGTATATTCTTTGAAAAATAAGAAATTGTTAAAAAGCGAATCTTGTGATTTTTACTTAACAATCCCATGACCGACTTCGAAGGATTCGAGAAATTACGGTGGTGTACTTATTGAAAATTGCTGGAATGTATTTAATTAAAATTATATAGTGATAACATTACCTATTATTATTTAAAAAAAATCCATCCATCGGCCCCGTAGGAATAAGCATCCTGATGCTGAAACCCATTGGACCAGCGGGAGCAGAATTTCTCACGAGGGTCCTCAATTTGTCTCTGACCACCCTGAAGATACCCGACGAGAACTGTCCTAGTAGCACTGGACTTGTCAAAAGCTTTTGTCACAGTCAATCACTCAGGGCAACTAACGGACATTGAGGAATCCTCATTACCGTCGGGGTTGCAGAGGTGGTTCATGTGTTACCTGAGTGGTCGACAATCATCGGTAATATTCCGAGGTGTAACATCTAAACCCAGAAAAATTAAACAGCGAGTTCCGCAGGGTGGTGTCCTCTCCCCGCTACTGTTTAACTTTTACATCTCGAAACTCCCTCCAACACCAGAAGGAGCTTCCCTAACCTCTTACGCCGATGACTGTACGATAATGGCGTCTGGCCAAGATATTGATGACCTCTGCTCGAAAGTAAACGGCTACCTCGCTGATCTCTCCCACTTCTTCACTGCAAGACAACTACGAATTCAACCGACAAAATGCTCGGCTACCCTCTTCACCAGCTGGACGAAGGATTACAGGCTTGAACTAGATGTGAAGGTCGATGACACTAAAATTCCGACGGTAGATAACCCAAAAATATTGGGAGTAACTCTGGACAGCCTTCACTCCTTCACTCCGCATACGACCGCAATTGCCGCAAAACTCCAGAGCCGCAACAAAATACTCAAAGCGCTAGCCGGCAGCGCCTGGGATAAAGATAAAGAAACTTTGCTGGCTACTTACAAAGCAATTGGCCGGCCGGTCGTAAACTATGCTGCACCGATCTGGACGCCGGGGACGAACGAGACGCAGATGAAGAAGCTACAGGCTTGCCAGAACACCGCCCTTAGGACCGCGACAGGAAACCTCCTGATGTCGCCGGAGCATCACTTGCACAGGGAAGCATCTATGCTACGGGTTAAGGGGCATAATGCTTTGCTGTGCAAGCAGTTCCTATTGAGATACTACCGCAGGGAGCACCCCAGTAGGCACCTAATAGAGGCTGAACCTCCACCTAGGCACATCAGAAAGGGAGTACTTGATTTAAAGGACACAATCCAGCAACACACACAACAACCGCTGGACAGGACGGCGTACCGACAAGCACTGAACGCCATTCACCAGGAGTCAGTCAACACCTTCATGGACTCCCTTCCAGTGAATGGCGTACTTTGAGAAATACCACCACCCACAGCAGACAACGAGCTCGAGCTGCCTCGAGAGACCCGCGTGACCCTGACACAACTCAGGTCTGGATATTGTAGCAGGTTAAACTCCTACCTATCCAGACCAGACCCCAGCATACCCAACGTATGCCCTGCATGTGGAGAGTCCCCGCACGACACTAACCACCTCTTCACATGCCCCCTCAAACCCGCTCATCTAACCCCCCTCTCCCTTTGGTCCAACCCCGTCGAAACAGCTCGTTTCCTGGACCTACCACTAGATGACCTCGGCAACTTAGACTGATCAAACCTGTGCCTAAGCGGGGTTAGCGAACCGCTACAACAACAACGGACCTACCACTAGATGACCTCGGCAACTTAGACTGATCAAACCTGTGCCTAAGCGGGGTTAGCGAACCGCTACAACAACAACGATAACAATAATAACAACAACAACAACATTAAAAAAGAGAAGTTGCGTTCGAAAGGAAATATTAATGTGCGCGATTGCACAATGTTTTTTTATTATCTTTGTTTCCTTTCCATCCTTATATCCGATTATTTTTCAAGTGATGCCAAAAAAGAAACTATAATCTTATTCACTAAAGTTCTTTATGAATAAATAAATTTATGAATTATAAACTTGTAACTGCTGCCTATCGATTATAATGCTATAATATTGTATTTATATTTTTTTCATGCTCTTTTTGGTCAAACTTTAATTTCCACATAGCCTAAGTTTATTTTTTTCATCTTTTTAAATATTCGAATAATTTCAGATAGATAAAATGTAAAGAAAATATTTTTTTAATTGTCTGATTGTACATTAGTCGCAAGGGATGTATTTTTATGGTATTTGTAACACCATATTACGAAATGCTGGTAACTCTTAGAGCTGTCAAAATATCGCATGCTAATTATAAAAAATTAATTTTTGAGAACACGCGCACGATCGACAGTGAGCCATTTGTAATTGTAACTTTACTTGGATTGTTAGTGATTTTGTTTTGAAAAGAAATGTGGCCAAGGTTCGGAATTAAAATTGGCAATAGCACATTATGTATTGCGCATGTAAAAGCAGATGGTAAACCAGAAGTTATTGCAAATAAGCAAGGCGATCGTAACTCGCAGGCTTGCCTTTTGTGGGATGGCGCGGAAGAAATTGAATGTGGTTTGACGGCGAAGCAGAAAATGGCCACACGGCCAAAGCAAGCAGTTGCTAATAGTTTCCAGCTTCTTGCGCCTCAAGATTTAGACGAGCAAAGACTAGCTGCAGCAATAAAGGAACTACCGTGTGATTACGATATTCTCAGTCATACTTTTCGACTAAAATGTCAAATACAAGATGACAAAAGCGATGAATTGAAGGACAATATACACGAATTGACTCCCTTCGATGTGCAAGTAAAGTTATTCCGCGCAGAATTGGAATTGGCACGTCAATATCATAATGACCCTGAAAAAGAGCCCATCGTTGTAATCTCTATACCGACTTACTATCCAAAATCTGCCTGGCCCGAGTTAGCTCGAGCTGCCAAAGACGCAGGCTTTCATGTAGCACAAATTGTCTCCGAACCCACCGCTGCAATACTTGCTTATGGGATTGGCGAACAGGACGCTGAGGAAAACACCGATAGTAGCAGCAAAACAAAGTATGTTCTTACCATAAAGTGTGGCGGTTTGAATAGTCACTTTGCATTATATTCAGTGAGGGATGGACTATATACACAATTAGATGCATATGGGCCATATGCAATTGGTGGTCAACATTTTACCGACGCCTTAACGCAATTCATTTGCGAGGAGTTTAAGCGAAAATATAAATTAGATCCACATGAAAGCCGCCGTTCTTTGGCAAAAATACGTAATGCAGCCACCAACTGTAAGCATATATTAACAACTCTTCCCTCAACGCAAATCTACATTGATTCATTAATGGATGGTGTTGATTTCAATGCTCAAATGTCAAGAGCTCGTTTTGAAAGTCTTATTCAACCGGTGATTAATAATTTTATGCAAACGCTAAATGAATGCGTTGAACGTGCGTCTTTAGAACACAGCGAGGTAAAAAAAATCAACTCAATTGTATTACTGGGAGCAACGATGCGTATACCAAAACTTCAGACAGCTGTAGCAGCACGATTTCCAGAAGCTCAATTGCATTCGAGCATATCAGCTGATGAGGTTGTTGCTATAGGATGTGCAAGGCAATCAACTTTCCTTCATGCACCCCATGAACAAGAACTATTATCCACAGAAGGACGGATATACGTAGAAGAGGATCTTTTTATTTGGCACGGTAATGATGAAGCGAACGCCCAAGTCTTGATTGAAAAAGGCACATCACTACCACGCAAAGTTATGCTTGACCTGAAGCAAAATAATGAATCTGAATGCGATAGCGTCATCCGGGTACGTGCTGGTAACAAGGTTAATGAAGTTTCATTACCTGGTTTGTCACCATCTGATGATGGCATGTATCGTATTGAAGCAGACATTGATTGTAAACAAGTAGGATCCGAAGCTATTCAAACGCCACGATTGCGGATACGTGTACTCTAAGGAGTAACGTTGATACTTAGCAATTATTCTTACTAAACTTTGTGTAGCCTATTACTTACAATAACTTTATTTACATTAAAATGTTTATTGTTAATAAACATATTATAAAAAACGTGCATTTTTCTTCTGTGTCGTTAAGAATGAGCTCAGTGAAGTTGTGTAGGAAGTAAACTTTTTTTATAATCCCTCAGAACTACTTTAGCGGGACCCTTCCGAATTCCAAAAGAGACCCTTCTGTGGAACTAGTGGAAATTAAGATCTTTTAATTGGATGTTATGGCGTCTTGAATATTTCATTGTGATAAAAATAAAAAAGATAAAATAAATATTATTTTGGAGCGTACCAAAAATAATTATTATTTCTGAGTGAAAAATACAATCTTAAGTTAATTAATATAGTGAATTTTTAAGCATAAAAGCATTTTAAACTTTTGTTTCTGAAGTTATTGACGGTTTTTTGTCAAAAAAATTAGGTTAACTGAATTATGTTTTTCACTATATTTCTCGCACGAAAACTAACAAACAACAGATAGAAGCATAATAATAAGACTAAAACTCCATAGTTTGATCACTTATATCAATGGCCTTAGTTTTTAAACTACTCTCCAATTTACGCAAAAACTCTTCAAATACTACAACTCCTTTGAACATTCCAGTCTTTTTGTAATCCTTAATTCGACTCTTTTCTTCTTCTCCATTCTCTTTGCTTTTTGATTTGTCGTCAAAGGCATTTATCTCCTGCAACAACTGTGAAATGGTGGGTACTGTGGTAGGATCAAATTTCGCCGCTACATTGCAATTGAACGGAACACAGACTTTACCAGTGCCGGGGTGTATACAAAATGGCGACTTTAGCAAATGGTTCATACCTTTTGTAACATTTATATCTAAACGTGGATAAAGTATACCCAATTGAATTTCTTCAATAATGTTCTTCAGTTTTCTAGTCCAAATACTTGCAGCGCCTGTGCGTAGAGAATTTACATAGCGCACAAATGACGTCCATACCGTGCGTGAATTCGACCCATCAGAATTAGTTTTCTTTAAATAAGCCTCTACATCCTTACGCGCCATATCATCGGGAATCATTGCCAGCAATTTATTAACACCATTGACATCACCAAATAGATTTTGATCTTCCAGGACAATCTCTTCAAAAAGTGGTTCAATAAATTTCAGCGCACGGCGTATACTATGATGCATTCGTTCACCAATTTGCACGCGTGCTACAACTGCACCATTAACAGTTACATTAGAAGAAATTTGCAAGTATTCAGCCACAGATGAACGCCCTCTTGAATCCAGGTGACGCGCATCATGATCACATACCCAACCGTGCACACCACGACGACCCGAAAATACCCAAAGTATATGCTCGAAACCAAAATCTTCACGTAAAGCTGCATCAAGCAAGCGTGCGGCTAAAGCCATAAACTTCCAGCATTTCAAACATACCGTGGAGCCAGTGCAGCAGGTCCGCACATCATTATAGTCATCCATATCAATATCAAAAACTAACTCACGTTGCACTGGTTGCATAGCCGTTGAAGTAGTACGAAAATTTTTCGGTCTAAAATTGATATTGAATTCAGATAGCAGTAAAAACGATAATTTAACAAAACATACTTGGTATTCATAACAGCACCAATGTCGATTTTATGTGGACATGTTGAGCAGATGTCGTTCTCCAATTCACTTTGAGTATCGTAACAACGGTAACGTATATAAATATCGTCGTGAAGAGTGTACGAAAACTCCCGATTAGCAAAAATGTTTGCCTCGGCTGGGAGAAAAACAATTGGTATGAACAGAATTAAGCATATATATGCATACTCACAAAGTCCATAGGATAGCCAGCGATAAAATGGCTTATGTGGAAATAACCGTTTGTAGTAAGCAGGCAGCATATCCGGTAGAATACTGGGATCATACTTTGGAGTTTTCTCATCTTTCAAAACTTCCTCGGTCATTTTGTGTTTAGGTATTTGAAGTATATCTAATTGCTGAAATTTATTATAACATAACAATTTAAAATAACAAAGCAATTGAACGATAACAATTCACAAGTATTGTACAAAATAAGACAAACTGGGGGATACCTTAAGAAATTTTTCGCATACACTTCTTTTATTGCTTATCTTACTGCTTAATTGGGGACTAAACAAAAAAACAACCGTTTATAATTGTTATCGATAGTTATATCATTTTTTTATACTTATTTTATTAAATTTTAATTTTTTATTACTTTTTAATACAGTTTTATACTTTTTTTTACTTTATATTTTTTAACTAACGGAATAAAAATGTGCAAGTATAATTAATATAATATTGTAGAAACTCAATGTAATCATTTAAAAAATGTAAACACTTTTAAGATCTGGCTTCAATGACTACTCAGCCGAACAGCACTAGTATATAGTTAGCTAATTAAAGCTAAATATAGCTGTTTGTATATTTTATGTATACGTACTATTATTTGTTTGTAAACTTATATACTACGTTGTCAAACTGTAATTTAATTAAATTTTATTATTGTTATTCAAACATTTACTTATTTATTATGTATGTTTATAACTATGTGTATAATTTCAATAAACATTGACAGATTTCAGGCGGTAAGCGTTCACAATACATAAATTATAACTGTATCATATTAGGGCATAGAAAAAAACTGCATATATTTGTGTGTGTATTTGCAGAAAATCGCCCTTTTCACGGAACTTAATCGGTAATTATATAATTTATCTATTAGATTTGGATTAAAAAAAAACAACTCTTAATTAAAAAAAAAAAAAAAAACATTGTCAAATTTATAATAATTTTGCCCTAATTCGGCTAAATATGTATGGATGTGCTATTATTAATATTTGAGTGTTCTTGAGAATTGCAAAACAAAGGTAACAGTGTTAATTTTGTGTCATATATGTATATATATGTATGTATGTTTTTTTTTTAACATAAATGGTCTCTCGTACAATACAGTTACTTAAGCATAAAATCTTTCCGTTACCAAAGATTTATTTTTAAAAGTATTTATTAGTCTGATGAACTGTTACGGTTTGTAAGTTCTTGTCAACGACTGCTTGGGGTTCTGTGTCTTTTCACGCAACAGTTAAACTTATGTCCTGCATTTTGTGCTGCTGATGGTAAGACTGCTCCGTTTGCTTAACCGGTGGAATAGTGCGGTACAAAGTGATTGAGGCAATATGGTTGTTTGTCATGACCTCAAATATTATATCCTGATAGCCGTAACAGAAAGTTGCTCCGAAAGGGTTGGCAGTGTTTGTAGAGCTAGCGCGATGGAGTACCACCGGACGAGCTGAAGGGACTACCGCACTAATTTCGTCCCACTTTGCGTAAGCAGTGATTTCAATGTCTTCGGAGATTGTTTTTTCATAATTATTTGAAAGTTCATCCTCACGTTTCAAATTAAATTTGAATTCACAACGATGATACATATTGAAATTGAAATGTCCCGGATAATTTGTGTGCAATACAAACTTCTTACAAGTTTGAGTACGTGCATCGAACAATACATCAATACCAAGGGTAAAATAATTAAAGAATGTATCGCTACGTTTATTCTGTGCCTGTCGGTTTACATTTGAGGAGTGTATTTTCATTTTATCTTCACTTTTAAAGAAAATTCGATTCGGTGCACCCAGCTTCATAGCTACATCTTGACAACTGTCGCCAAATAGAATTTCTCTGGTGAAACATAGTCGACGATGTTCTAAAGCTCGACTAGAACCCTCCGTAAATAGCTGTAACTTTAATCCTTGAGTATAACCATTTTCAGAGCGCAACACTTTGGCCGAGTCTAAATAGATCTGTCGATGGTAACAAGAGAGTGGAAGAGGTGGAGCCCGCGTCTCAGAAACATTGCTCCCGGAGTATAGTGACATTTTCGAAACTACTGGTGATGCGCCACTTAAAAATATTAAAGACCCTAAACCATGTGCGTATCCTTCTTGCAATTTGCTGTCCACCGGAAAAAAGAAGCTCAATCCACGAAAATGTAGTGCAAATAATTGTTTTGCTGCATCATATACACCAGGATGTGTAGCCCCAAAGGAATGCTCGATTTGTTCAATGGATGGTAGTACCTCTGGGGAATTGAAGTGTACTCCTCCGTACTTCAGTTTAACCAGTTTCATGTTGAACACTTCGATAGTTTTTAAACGTTGTATAACAGGATCGAAAATTAAGCGAACACCATCTTGGGGTAAGTTTATAATAATGTCCACACCCAATGGATTTGTTTCTGAATAAAGTACTTGCACACCTTTAATGATGCCCACTTGTGATTGAATGATTGATATTGCTTGTGAAAAGTGCATTCCAAGGACAAATTCCCACGCATCACAACCAAGGGACAACTCGGGTACAATCTCTAAGTCCAACATTTTAACACTGCAAGTTTTCTTTAGTGCCAGAGGGGATTTTTTTTTAACTCACTAAATATTAGCACAAAAATGTTTTTACGTTTTTATAACTTTTCACAATTGGCACACCTTAAGTTGTTTATTCAACTTGTTATTGTTGTTTTCTAGAGAGGCTCCTATGCCCCTGAACTTCGTTTCTTTTATCTAATTTTTTATTTCGTTTGTGCGCTTGAGTATAGTTTCTAATGTCTGGCGTCGTAAACTGAAACGCAAATAAGTTTTAAACATAATTTTCATACAATTGAAAGTCAAAAGTTCAGATCTTACTTACAGGCTGTTATCAGTACAATTGTTTGATTATGAAAAAACTTTTTGAATCGAGGTAAATAAAAGTAAAAATAAATTCAGTTTCTTAATTCGACGTAATACACACAAATTCACACCGAGCACCAAGCAAAAAATAGCGATTTAAGTGAAAACAAAGGAAACAGCTGAGTAGAAAATAAAAAACCACAGTTGCATTTTAGCCAAATACATACCTTAAAGATAGCAAAACAATATTAATTAGCCGTGTTCCCGTGTTCCCGTGTTCCGATACAAACAATTCGCACTTTCCACTATTTTTCGTTATCAACAACATCTTCATTGAAAAATTATTTTATTATTAGAGAATAATATAATATTTTAGTGATTTATACTTTCACAGAATTTATATTACATGTATTTAGATTCTAGTGGCTTATGTTATGGTTATTTAAACAAAATTTAATAGAAATAGATTTGCTATTAAATATATTTTTTTCTAATACTGAATTTTCTCAAAACTTATCTTCAGATATTAGACTTGAGATATAGACATAAAAAAGGAATTTCCAACGATATAATTGGTTGCACTTTTTAAAATTTTCGAAAATTAGCCCTTCGCCCCCCACACCTACGGAAATATAATTTTTCCAAAAAAAAAAATATAAGGAAACCAGGGCGGGCCATACCCTCTTTTATATTTTTTCTACCTTAACGGTCTGTAATTTGCATTTGTTCCCTTTTAATAAAAAAGAAAGTCTCTGTTTTGCTCTTTTAACGCGCAAATACAATCACAAAATCAAAATTTTTAAAACAAAACTTTAATTCTCTTCCGTAGAAACTTGACCTTAAATTCCAATAGCTCATAGTAAACAAGCATATAGTATGGTAAAACATCTGGTAGCATTTTAAAAAAGCATACCTTGGCGGGAACCTTTCTGTCGTATATGTTTATGACATTTATTAATTCATTAACCTTTTTCTTTACTTATTCTATTTAAACTTACAAATTATGGTTACTTAAAAAGCACTAAGTCGGGAACTTTATAAACGCGTTTCGTATATAAATAAACTCGACCACTTAAATACCAATGTTTGCACAAAATTACACCAGCACGCTAAACTCTAATAAGATCAAACAAAATTGTATAAATGGGGTTGCCGGAGTTTTTAATTTTGTATTTACCAGTGCCATATACTCCAGAGGTAACAGACCTATGGAATTTTTAGACCAAAACTAAATTGTTTGCCGAAAAATTGATTAAAAATAAGAAAAGGCATTGAAAAATCCTAAATGTACGCTCTGCATAGAACGGAAAAACTGACTTTACTAATTGTTTTGTATGCAATATATAAACGGATGCATATATTTTGTGAAATCGGAAATACTTTTCTTTTACTTTGAAAAGAGGATGATGGCAACAATGATTACATTCCATTCGTTCCAAAACCCCACTTTGTTGAAAAAGAAGATACTGATGTGCATAGGCGTCAATATTTTTCTCCTTTACATATTAATATTAAAAAATAGTACACAGCTTAATTAGACTTTTGTAAATATTTACAATTATTAGGAAATAAAAGTATTAGAATGTCTCGCCAAGCTTCACGTTTCGACTCCAAAAAAGTGGTAAGTTGATTAAAATAATTAAAGATGTGTTTGGTAGCGGATAGTCACTGTGGAAGGTTCCCTCATATTCCATTCGATTTTGCAGTAATTATATGACAAATCAAATTTGATCTCGCGTCACACTTTAACATAATCAACGCAATTAAGGTGAATGGATATTAACCAATATTTGAGTAACAGAAAACCAAATCAACAGAAAGCTACAGGAGCTATCACTGTTATAGCTCAGGATAAAAGAAGCTTACAAGACCAACAACAAGTACAATTGATACCGATGATGACTGCAGGAGGAGCACAAATTATTATTGGACAAGTTCCACAACAACAGCCACAAACTACCAATACAAACGGGGCTGCGGCTACTGGAATTATACCCCTACAGACAAGCCAAATAATGCTGCAACAGCCGCAGCAAACGGCCCAACCCATGCAGCTACTCCAATTACCTGACGGCCAAACTTTATTTTATCAACCACCCTCCACTTCATTGGCTATTGATCCCAGTGCGGCAACCCAAGCTCAACCAACTCCACAACCACAACTTATTAATATTAATGGGCAAATAATGCAGATTGCTACCGCTCCGACGCATCCTCAAGGTACTACAGCTACCACACCAACTATTGGTCAACAAATTATAATGATGCCACAGGCTAGTACGGCAACGGTTGCAGTGCCCCAACCTTCGGCGACAGTAGCAGCACAGCAAACTGCTACAACCTCTGTGGCCAATAATGTTACAAATGAGGCGGCATCAGCAGGAATTCAAGTGGAAGATGATTCAAGCAAGGGCGAATCAGAAGAAGAACCCCTTTACGTTAATGCCAAACAGTACAAACGAATACTGATACGACGACAAGCTCGAGCAAAGCTAGAGTCACGCATACCAAAAGAACGGTCCAAATATTTGCATGAGTCTCGTCATCGTCATGCAATGAATCGGGTACGGGGTGAAGGTGGTCGATTCCATTCGGCGCAGACAAAAAGCGAACTAGCTGGGTCGGGTCATGGCCATTGCGAGCCACAAATGCAACCTCTACAAAGTCGAGCATCTGTACGGTCTGCACCAAAATTAATCGCTCCACATCAGGGTCCAATACCAGCACCAACACCAAATATTACAATTACCCCAATAAAGTAACAAAAATTTTAGCATGTAAAAAGGAACTAGTATCTGTTTTATTTTGAAAATAAGAGATTTTATAAATAGATATATAATTCTTAAACATCGTAAATGTGAACTATCCGCTATCAATATAACGGATAAAACATTTTATTAACATACAAATTGTTATTCCCAGAACGCAGAGTTCTTAACACTCACTTATGGTGCGCTTGTAACCCAAATGCTGCGAGATTTCGAAAACGTTGAAGATGTAAATAAACAACTCGAACGTATTGGTTATAATATGGGTATGCGACTAATAGAAGATTTTTTAGCACGGACCTCAGCTCCTAGGTGCTTAGAAATGCGTGAAACTGCGGATCGCATACAACAGGCATTTCGTATCTACTTAAATGTACAACCGACAATATCCAACTGGTCTGCTTCTTCTGATGAATTTTCCTTAGTTTTTGAAACGAATCCCCTAACGGAATTTGTTGAGTTACCACAGGATTTGACGAATTTACGTTATAGTTCTATACTTAGTGGTTGCATACGCGGGGCTCTGGAAATGGTTCAATTAGATGTTCAATGTTGGTTTGTGCAGGTAATTATTTAAAAGCGGTTCAATTTTGTGCCATTAAAAAAAAAGTATTACTTACATATACATACATACGTGAATATTAAGCTACACGTTTTCATGCAAATATTAATCCTTAGGACCAACTGAAAGGTGATAACGTAACGGAGCTTCGTATCAAATTTGTACGTCGCCTAGAAGATGCCATACCCGCTGGCGAGGATTAGATTGCACAAATATTTTATGTACATTTAGTTAAATATTAATATATCATTCCCTCATATATTTCATGTTTTGTTAAGAAAACAAAAATTAGCATACATAGTAATTCTTAATATAGAATTTGAATTTAAGTTTGTCAATAATTATTGTTAAATTAAATCAGAACAGTCTACTACGTCTCTGCTCACTATTTTTAAATTCAACGTTTTCGATACCTCATTAAAATTATATAACCGCTTGTGATACTCGGCACATTGTTGACAACATAACTTCTAGATTTTAGATGGGGTTTAATGAACTAAATGAAAGTAATGAAACAAGACAAGAAAAATTTGCAATTAGCAAAACTTCGGAGAATCGTAAGTATTTATTTATATATTTAAGTTGGATATTTCATCAGGTACGGATTAATCTATTTAATTCATACGTTATTGCTTGTATCACCAATACCCAAATTTTTACGAATAGAAAACGGAAGAATTTAGACCACACTGTAAACAAAGAAGAAGCAATAACGTACTAACATTCGTAAGGCCATGAATCGAGTCTTTGTGCGACCAACATCCGAAAATTCCAAGATTGTCTTGTCCGCTACCGCCCGCTTCAGCCTTTATTTTTATTTACGGAAATCCCTTCATCTAGGATCTCAATGAAGATTCGACTTAAATTTGCGTTTATAAGCAGAACAACAACATTTAAAGCCCTGTAATCTCTTCTGGAGAAACTAAGCTCTGACCCACAGTCAAATTATTGTCCAATCCGATGAGATGGGGTGGCCAGGCAAAAACCGGTCCCATTGGTGATCACGCCTCGTCGTACCCGACTATATGCGCGACCTACTTTAGCCGACTTGTCACGCAGCATCTCTCAGTAGACAAAAAAAAAAGTGACCCTATGTCTACCCAAACTGTCCTGGTAGCATTGGATCTATCAACATCGTAAATTCAATAATGCCGTGCTACTTTCGGGCATTGAGGACTCATCGTCATCAGGGTTAAGGAGGTGAACCACACCCAAACTATGACGTACTAAACAAAGGGTTCTGCACTTGCTTACTGCACGACAATACCAGTTACAACGTGCGAAATCCTCGGCCACTCTCTACATCAGCGGAAACTCGGTTGCGTGAAAACTCCGACAATTGACGACCAGAAGTTACTGGTAGCCACATTCGACAGCCTGAATTCCTTAAGTAGTCGACTTAATTCCTTCCTAGTCGGACTTGACCCCAACATATCCAACGAATGTCCCGCTTGCAATAAGACCCCGGACCACACTTACTACCTCTGCATGTCCCTAAAACCCTTCTAACATCTTGTTTCCTGGACCTCCCGTTTGCACCGACATCATCGGACCCTTATTGTGATCCACACCACGTCACCAACACAGTATGCTTTCACAATTTTTCCAGGGTGAGGGGTAAGGTCACCCATGCAACCACGTCCTGGCATGAGTTTCTCAAGTAGGAGTACCAAGAGAGGTACAGCCAGGATGAATTCGATATCCAGATAAGATTATATCAGTACAATAACGTTAGGTTTTCATCTTTTACAAAATTCATTCAATAGGTCCGTATATACGAAATAGAGGAGGTTTACAGACAGATTCCAATTGTGAGACATATACTCATCCGACAACTTTTCGCAAAGCATCTGTTGCATATGCTTCCTTGGTTCTTCGCCACTAAGTTAAAATAGCACAACCCATAAACTATCGGCTCGTCTCTTAAAGCTTTCAGTAAGTCGCCGCATATTTTCTGACCTCTGTGAACCAGCTTCTCAAGCCCTCGATACATACTGACGGATTTCGGAGTCTTTTTTTCCGTCTGCAAATAAGACTCGCTTCCGTCTTAACTTAAATCCTTCAAACTTAAAATGCCCATTTCTCTTTCACTTCAACCAGCTACGTGATAGTATGAGGATGGTCGCGGTCTGTGAAACCCTTTCTCAAGTTTTAAGGTAATAAAGAAAAATTTTTAGGATTTACAATAAAAAAACACCTTATTGCAGTTTCAATATTTTTATTAAGACAAATATTTTAACAAAGTACAAAGCAATCAACTTTTAATATATATGTATATGTATGTATAAATATGTGCTAATACATAATACAGGCACTTTGGTTGACTTTAATCTAAAAAAAAAAATTTCTGATATATAAGGTACATTCATACCACTTACGTCATATAAAATATTGTATACAAAACATGTGTCGTTGGCCAACGCAAATTCAACAGGTAGAAGCGGTAAGGCAAACATAACAGTAACAAGTATTGTTCCTTTTATTTTCGTATATACATTTTTTTTTTTACAAAATATATACAAATTAAGACCTTGTAGCACGTGAAATTGTAAAAAAAAAATTAAATTTGCAATTTCAAATTGGCGATGGCTTCGAGGTTTCTGGGATCTCTTTTTTTGGTTCAAATCATAAAGCAATAAATAAAAATAATATTAATTTAATCCGTTTCTTCAGACTTAATACATGGCACTTCAATTCCTGGTGCATTAGATAAGTATGCACATACATTTGTATACATGTTTATGTGTGTGGTACCATTTTAAAATTACTATTGTACTCATTCTATGTACTTTTTATGACACTGTTTGCGCAACAAATATTTTGGAATTAAAATAAACAATTAATGAAATCAAATACAATAGTTTAACCTTTTCAGACAACTGTATATTTGCTTCATAGGTACGTGTATGTTTATTACTTTGGTTGAAATTATAATATGTATGTAGTCCAATCATATATATGATATACTCGTGTATGTAACTGCAAAATTTTACCCATTATATATGTACTTATGTAAGCATTTATATGTAGAAAATAAAAAATTTTACGAGTATAATCTAATATATGGGTATGTTATATACATACATATATTCATATATACAGCATTGTATAGTAGCCAATAAAATGAAAAATGCCACAATGCAAAAACTATAAAAATATTAATCTACGATCGGAATTCAGTTAAAAAAATTTTGGCAGCAGCTTTCATTGCCGGCTTAAAAGCAGATTTACACATTTCTCCGAGAAAATAGAAAAAGTGAAAACCTTAAATGAAATATGTGTCAACGTAAATAAATATTTTTATTTTAAAGGTCAAATTTTAAACTATTATCTCGAATATATATATATATATACATATATATATGTGTATGTATATACTTTTTTTCAAATAATCTTTTAATCCATTTCTTCAGACTTATTTCACTTTACAGTTTGTATTAAAGTACAATTTGAAACTAAAATGTTTTCATAATAATAAACGTTTACCTTTCCACACCAATTTAATCCTTTTATTTTTTGCATTTCGAAAGAGTACAAAATTCTTATTTGAAGAAATGTGACTATTTGTGTGTTACATACATACCTACACCTATACACATATTTATATATATTTGTTTTCACAATAAAATTTTTAATTATTTTGACTAAACAATTTTTTTTTCTTTTAATCAAAATTATGCCAGTCTGGCCAACTTCATTTTTAAATGATTTTACTTCAAATCAATTATGATGCAAAAAGAATTTCAAGCAATATAATTATTATGCAACAACAATGGCACGAACTAAATGAAAACCATGTTTTTACAAAATAACAACAACCAGCTATATATATACACATATGTACATATGTTCATATAATGCAATTGTAATTCCAAAGTCTGATCAAGAAAATGTTTCTAATGTTTTAATTTTTTCATATTAGTTACTTCTTTTTTGTAATTATTTAAGGTTAATGAACTAATGATATTTGTTTTAGCTGTAGTCAAAGTAAAATGGCGGTTAATGATAATAATTAGTATGCAAAAGGCAAATCTTTGGCGTTTGATTGATGATTAAGATACAGTCAATAAATCGATAAATCAAAAAGTTAACAATTACTTCAACTCCAGAATTTAATTCTGACTTTGTGGACAAACCATCAAGTTAAGATTTTTACGTGTTAGTACGCGGCGTAAAGCTTGTAGAGTTTTAGTACAGATAATAACACAGCAACCATTGGCAACACCTTCAGCTGGACTCTTGCATGTGCAAGAAGTACTTTTAAGTGATTTTGGAGGTATTGTTGATGTATTTGCACTTGTTTTGGCTGGTGTGGGAGTAACTTGTGTAACAGATGATGTATTTGAGCAACAACTACTCGTATTATTGTCTTCTATCGGTTTAGTTACAGTAGGTGGTCTGCAACCACCCGAAGTGCTCTTGTCGCTACCGCAGCAGCCGCCGCCAGTATTGCTGCCCATAGCAGCTAAATTTTGTAGCAATAAAGCCACATCTTCGATATTTTGATTGATGTCTGCTTCACGTTTCGCTGCGGCCCGTTCTTTCTTACCGTTACAGCAATCCTTGCCACGATAAACAGCTTTGGGCATAATGTTTGTGGAGGTTTCCATCTTTTTATTTGGCACATTTTGCGTTTTGTGATTATGACAACATTTATGCTTGCCATTCCCTTTTTTACCACACGGCGTTTCATTGTTGCAGCCGCCTTGACAATCTTGAGTTTGATCACACTTACAATTGGTACAACCACAAATACCAGCATCAGCAGTTATTTGCTTCAAAGTTGGTTTATCACTTCTTAGATCCACTTCGATTAGACCCGATGCATCTTCTGGTACCTGTTTGGCCTGTTGTAATGTCTCCTGCAATAGCTCTGTATTATTGTCGATGGTCATTAATATTTCATTTAGTAGTGACTCTGTTTCCATATCTTCTGCATCATTGCTATACTGCAAATCCTCCTTCAAGAGTTCTTCAATGCTTTCCTGTGTTGGCATCATATCCATACTTTGATCTATAGCTGACGCAGAATTAATTACAGTGACATCTGCTCTATTATCTACGCTATGTACACTGCGAGTTATGCCTGCAACACCGTTAATACCATCAATTTCCATTTCAACCGCTGGTGTGCGTTGAACTTGAGTGGGATTTGTATATACTATATCTGTTGCAACCGGTTTATATGCTCCTCCATGATTATTAATACCCAAATAATCGCAAGGATCTGTAGATTCTGGCATAGCTGGGATATTTGTTTCTAATATTGGACCAGTATTGCTTAAAATAGCAACTTCCGGTTTGCCAAAATTGTTATAACTTTGTTGTAAGTCAACAAAACTCGGTACCTCCGTTGGTAATGCTACGCAAGCGTTGGTGACTGGTGCCATCGGCATAATTGGTTTTGAAATTAGCACACCGGCATCAACCCAAGGTGTGGGTATTTCTTCTTCTGCAGCGTACGCCAGCTGTAGCGCCTGGGACGTTTCCGGAAAAGATGTCGATTCAATTTTAGGTGATAAAGTAGACAGTGATGCATTTCTCATATCTGACATTTGAACAGAAAATATATCGGTCACATTATAATCAATATCTTCCGTTTTGATAAGGCTGTTAGCGCTTAGTGAAGGTAAACTGCCATTTATTGACGAGCTTTGTGTAGATACATTTTCTTCCCTTTCCTCTTCGCCATTCGAAGTGTGTTCTTCGTTGTAGCCGCTGCTGTCACTTTCTACTTTAATAGATGCATGACAATCGGAACTTTGCGTTAACGGTAAATGCTTTCGATCCTTTCTGATGTTCAAATGGTGTTTCTTGTTGTCAAAGTTATTTTGTCGTCGATTACGTTGCTTTTGATGTGTTTTCTTATGCGATTTAAGACTATGTGATGTACTGAAGGACTTTTGACAACTAGTCTCCTCACACGGGTAAGGCCTTTCGCCCGTGTGTGTGCGTATGTGTGTTTTAAGATGATGTGAAGCAGTAAAAGCTTTACCACAGGTGTCTTCGGGACATTTATACGGCCGCTCTTGAGTATGAGTACGCATGTGCTTTTTTAAATCACTCAAAGTGGTAAAGCACTTTTGACATATCTCACAATTAAATGTTTCACCATTATGTAACCGTAAATGCGCCTGCAACCTGCAACGGAAAATTCAAATGAAAATTAAATTCTAACCTACAAGCACATACGCACATATTTATGTGTTATGTGTTGTAGAAATTGTTTTAATTGAAAATATACTGGAGAAAACTGTGTTTAATTTTTCAACTTTGGAGTAAACTTTGGATTGTGTCTTACCTGTAGCGCGTATTGAACGCTTTTTCACATCCTGTTACTTCGCATTCGTATGGTTTCACTTTAGTATGCACCCGAATATGAATCTTTAAACTGTACGAAGTAAGAAAAGCCTTGCCACAACTTTCTTCAGTGCATTTGAAGCGGTATTCACCTATGGAAAAAGCATAGAGACGAATTTAAGTTTCATAAGCATACATAAATACATCAAAAAACATTCATCTGAAACACTCATACATGCAAAAAAATACTGGCAATTACTAATATATGAGCCATTTATTGTGAAAGAGGTTTAAGTTCATTTTTTTCTTACATTGAGATATTTAAGGATTTGCAGTTGAATTGTTTCAAAAATATTGTAAACTGATATTAAGTTGTTTCTATGGCTTTGTAACCTTTAGGGGCACACCTAGTGTGAAATTTCCAAAAAATTGTTTTTTTTTTTCGGTAGATTACACTTTTGAAAATAACATTTTAAAATTTCAAATCGATATTTCAAATAGTTTTTGAGTTATAGCAATTTAAAGAGCAGCCGGTCGGCAGCTAGAGAGTCTCATTAGCTACGATGAAAACGATCATTTTATCTTTAAACGCGTTTTTCTCGAAACAGCATTTTCTCAATTTGCTGCAGTTTTCACATGTTTTATATATAGTTCTCCGTACAATGACCTATCGATTTTGAATCTGATCAAAAATTCGAATTTTGGCAGGCCAAAAAGGACCAAAATTTTGGGTAAAATTCGACTTTTTTTTTAAACGACGCCATATTGTCAATTTAAAATTTTTTTATCGTAGGTCATTGTACAGACAATATTATCTTATCGAGTTTTTTTTTTAGATTTCATCCACGGTGAAGGCCGGAATCACTGCAGCAGTGCCGTTGATCGTTGGAGATCGACTATAAATTAAAAAATATTTAGTTTTTTTCTTCAAAAATTTTACTGTATATTCTTGAAACATGTATAAATATATTCTTAAAATTTTGAAGTAATTGATAATGTATTTTTTTTAATATAAATTCCCAAAAATCTCCTTTTTTTAGGCCATTTCACTAGGTGTGCCTCTTAAACATGTTAATATATATAACGGAATATGTTTTGTAAACTTAACTAGAAAAATAAGCTGTACTCAGAACCTAAAATAGTCCTAAACCACCTCCAAAATTAATAAAGTGACTTTTTTGTGTTCTTTCTTTAATATTATTATAAGTTAAATTTTTCACTTAAAGTTACTGCACTACGTTTATATAATTTCAATATAATTGAAAAAAAAAAATACATTAATTTAACATTAATATTGAACAAATTATCCAAAATATTGTATACCTATTGATTCCTCTAAATAGTTATATTTTTAAGGTAAATTCTGGTAATTATTATTTTAAAGAAATTAAATAATAGAAATTGCAAATATATTATTTTTGATGTAGATGAACGTAAAAGCTTTGAACCAAATAGGGATGCTTTGAATTTAGATACATTTTTTATGTAATTAGAAAAAAATGTATTCAAAAAAAGAAAGCAATTCGTTTATTAAATAAATTTGACTATCATTTCTCCCCATTTAGATTGTGTGAAATTGCTAAAATATTCATGGTGCCTAGGTGGTATATAGTACCTTAGTAACAGCATCATATCCTTATTACTATGGGACCTACATTTGTGTATAATGGTGTTAATTTCATTTTGTTGAAGCACCTTGGTCTTCCCCGACAGGGTAATGATATACATAATAGTTTGATTCCCTTTCATAGATTCTTTATATTTTATAGAGTTCAATTTCATAAATCGCTTCCAACACATGCTGAGCCAATTGACAGATTCGTTCCTAGTTTTTTTTTTAATCTTTTATCAATTCCTTCTTCCAGCTGCTGGCTAATATTTCTTTGCTGTATTCCTATAAGATTTCCTTAATTTTTGGGCGTATTTATCACCATTTCTTTCTGTTAAACTCATTTACTTTTAGAGAATTCGTGCTGAAATCACGTAGCATTCCATCATCATAATCTGATGACAAAAATTTTTCAACGATTCTTCTTTTCTCTAAAGTACTATTCTAGTTTTTTACATTACCTTCACCTTCTGAATCCAAAACTCTTCCATTTTTATTTCTCTTATAAATAATAGACGATACTTACACAAGTTATTTTAATTATAAATATATAATTAAATTATTTTTTGTTACCTGTACAAGTAAGTAGTATAATCTACAATAGGTCAGACATATTAAATATTATACTTAGAACTTAAGAAACTATTTAAATTATAATTAATATACACAACTATTATTACTGTTATTATCATTAGATAATTTTTTTTTAATGTGATTAAAACACTTTCAAAGTTAACAGCTCATATCATAAAAGCGTAAGTAGTTGCTACCCAATTGTGCTCACACTCAATTCCTATGCATGCTAGACCATATTAATTATATGTTTCAAATTTTACCGAATTATTTTCTGAAATATACTTTTTCACCCACCCGTGGATGGCGTCATGCGCTTTCTTCACATCACAGATTTTCCCATTCCTATCTAACAAATATGTGCAATTAAGCACATTTAGTTACTAAATTACTGTAATATGGGAGATGGGTGTGAACTTGGTCTGATTTCATTCATTTACAATAGTGTTCAGACTTGTCACACAAGAGGGAATGTGTTAACAAAGTCTCATCATAATATATATCTCAATTCGTACTTGAGTTAGTATGTAAGACGGACCAACAGTCTATTTGTTTCCACATTCCGTGTTGTTTAAATACTATGTATTGTAAATATATATTGGTGTAGTAAAAGGGAATAAATTATTTCTGTATTAAATTGAAGGCTTTATTTTTTACTTTTCGTATGCAGCCATAATCAAATGGTTCCAAACGGTTTTTTGTGCGATATTTTGCTCTTGGGCAATCGAAACAGTGCTTGCATGACGGTCAGACTCGACAATGTCCATGATTTTATTGACATTTTCTACAATTGTCCTTCCTCTCCGTGAAGCATTTTTTACATTTACATTAAATTGTGCATGATTGACGGTAACAGTATCAGGACCATAAGCGTTATTCACATTTTCAGATGCCTGACTTGCGTTTTCGCCCTTATCGAAGGAAAATTGTAAAATATAGCGTATTTTCTCTTTGCGCACGCTGAAACAAAAAAATGTTATCTTTCTAACGTCATCCAGCCGAACCCAATCGGACTTACGAGGTGTGTTCAAAAAGTATCGCGAATTTTGAATTTTCGCGAGTTACGTATAATCGAATTTCGATTTTTTTGTGGCGTTATGTTGGTACTCATGTCTGTCACTTATGCCGACAAGCTCGGCCATCTTGAATGTTCACTTAATTGTTGACAGCTGCTTTGCTTGCTCGTGTTTTGGATGGTCTTCGATTTTTACCTATTCAAAAAAATGGATCAAAGAACCTTAATCAAATTTTGTGTGAAAAACGAAATTAAGTGCGCGGATGCTTTCCGAATGTTTACTTGGACCGAACAGCAACGTTTATCGGTGGTATCATACAAAATGTTCTCAGGAGGCCGAGAAGATTGTCGAATCACCGTTAGGAAAGTTGCTGAGGACCTAAACATATCGATTGGCTCGTGCCATTAGATTTTTATCGATAATTTGGGCATGAAATTGCTTAATTGCCCCTGCTCACACATCGTTGCCTGTGAGCGACTTTTTAGCCAAAAACAACACACTAATGATGCCGCAGCCACCGTATTCCCCAAATCTGGCCCCCTGTGAATTTTTCTTGTCCCTAAACTGAAGAGGCCCATGAAAGGACGACGTTACGCTACGATTGAGGAGATAAAGACGGCATCGAAGGAGCTGAACAAGATAAAAAATAAAACCGTTGGCACAAGTGTATAATATCTCATGGGGATTACTTTGAAGGGGACAAAATAGATATTCATGAATAAATAAATAATTTTTGAAAAACACAAAATTTTTTGAACACACCGTATATAACGCGAGATATAGACAAGTAACTCTATCTATTGAAAAAATAATGGATTTCTTTTTACTGCACCATAGTACGCGTATATGTAGTATGTCCGTTTCTAGTTCGATTATATAATATTAAGATGCCCCCGAACGGCTGTTGGATTTTTATGAGCAGGCTTTTATTATTACTATTATTTTTTTTTTAATAACTTAGTTCAACATACATACAAAAGAACTTCAGTGGGTGTGCTCACCTTTGTGTGTCTTCAGATGCGTGCGCAGGTTTCCAATAGTGCTGTAGCTCCGATTGCAATTTTCATAATTACAATTATAACGACCAAGTGCTTCATCCGAATTCTACGCAATAGATAATAGGATATTATAAAGCGAGAGTTAAGAGGTGAGTGTATGCTAATTTTTGACTTAAGCCAATGGCGCTATCTGCAGCAGCGAAGTAACGGCCACACAGTTGGACATATACTGAATGTATGTATGTATGTATATGTTTTTGAGACATTAAACGCTGCTACAGATACGGCTAAATACAAAGCAAATAAATTTTATGGAAGAAAACGTTTTTGAGAGTAAATATGAGTTAAAATGTCGAATCTATCATAGCGTCATACTTCATAATCGCATTAAGTTATTAGCAGAAGAGTCGTTGAAATTGTATGTTAAAATGACATCTTTATTAAAAGCAGCTATTCCACCGACAACAGATGTAAGAAAAAACTAAAAAAAAGATGTTAAATATTATAAAAAATAAATGTATCATTAAAAATTTGCTGTGCTACAAACGCGTTTTATTATTTCTTAACAGAATATTTTTTGAATGATTTAATTGATATGGTTAGCTAGTTTATTTTAAAACTTTTTTTCTTTACAATTACTAATATATGTACATACTAGATTATAATTAATGGCAAAAAGAAATTGGGATATTTGAACTGTGTACCTCGAAAGTAGTAAATGTCGCTTGAGTTGGCTCTCCTTTCTGTTTGTGCAAGGCACCGGGGCGTATGCATAATGAAAGTTCATCGGGTTGATTATTTACTTCCATGTAACTATAAATCACCGCAATTCGAAACAATACATACATAGGTTACGAGAAACAAGAATATCGAATGTTTTTATTTAAAATAATATAATTGATTTTTGTTTATTGCAAACATATCGTTGCCTAGTTTCGTTCAATTTATTATTCTCATAAGCTGCAGCGGATCTGTCAGTAAGGAAAGCAAATTCAGCGATTGTATTTAAATTTTTGTTTTAATTTAAAAGCCGCTAAATTATTTTTACATTGAACAGAACATTTTAAACAACATATAATAAAAAAAAAATTATTCGAGTTTTCTTTTATCTAAAATCACTTAATTTAATTAATTGGAGCCGATATATATTAGGATTTCGCCTGATTAGTTTAAGCAGAATACATTAATGCTCATATCGACGTTTTTATAATCTGCTGTATATGTACATATTTAAGATAATAGCAGCGTGTGAACTCGTTCGGTTACTATAAATACTGCTTTCTCAAGACCTATAGAGCAACCTCCCTTTGCTTACTTACGTATTAACGCCGCCACAACCACAGACTAGGTTACTTTCGATTTACTAAAAAAAAAATCGCGCCGAAATAAGCAAACAATAAGGTACTGCGCAAAGCGTAGCCTATGTTGATCCGGCCAGGATTCGTGGGGTGGTGGCGTTATTACGTAAACACCACAATGGGTTATTACAACCGTTCATAGGGCTAGACAAAATTTTTAATATTTCCTTTTTTCCAAGAACATACATTACAGATATTTTTTATTGAACAATAAAATGAATTATAGTATGAAAAATCGAATAAGGTTATCGCAATCGATGGACGGGACAAGAGCTAAAGAAGGTGAATAAAATTTTCTTACAGCGTACACATGTCGAGAGAGAGAGAGAGAGAGAGAGAGAGAAAGACCCCGACGAGGCTTGCCGAACTCCAGAATAGGCACAACAGCCTCTGTGGTGAAACATTGCCAAATACGATGGCTCTGTTCGACTTCGCCGGTACCGGAGATATGATTGTATGTGTCTTCAGCAGACTCTAGCTTTTTCTATATTGAGCAAAGAAGCAAAGCGAATAACCTAGTTTTGAGCGAGGAAAACTTGAAATGTTTTTTTTCACCAAACAATCACTCAGCGTGTCTGTGTTCACAATCATAACTTCGAGGTTATTCGATGTCCCATTTAAATAAACAAAAGTACATTTATTGAAGTTCTCAATATTTTCGCATACCAAATTGTAGCGATAACGCTTCTTCTATTCAGCGTAGCCCACTATTTTGGAAATGGTTTGCAGTTCGAAATAACGAAGCGTATGTTGGGCAGTATAGAACACACAATCTGGTTAGTTCGTAGGAAAGAAAAGAAATATTTTTCTGTCTAAATTGTTAGTATCGTGGAGCTAATTAAATTCCTTCAAGCCTTTCCGAAAGTTTGCAAATAAAAATATTCATATATATGTATATATATGAGTAGAGACAGTTTTCATAAAATCTCTTCTTGACGAAATCGTTGAATTAACTTACACACGAGAGCAATTTGTTTGGAAGTCAAAATTAAAAAAAAAATCTCTATAATTCACTTTTGTGCATATGCACATGCAGAAATATATACATAAGCATATGTATACAAACATGTAAATATGCAGTTAATATATTTATAAGGTTTTATTATAAAAGTTCTTTAGAAAGCATCATTAAAGAAAAAGTTCCGCAAAGTCGCTCATCGTATTAATTGGCTATTTATAGTCTTGGCCACGACGGCAACATCCAACGACCTCACCTTAACACCACACATCGTACTTCACTTCACCCACTCAATGGTCATATTTTGGTACACATGAATATATGTACATATGTGTGTTCATATGTACATATGTATGTGATGTTATATCTAATGAACGCAGATTATATTTTTGTTTAAATGAAAGTAATTTGTCTATTTACAACTATTAAATTCATACATATGTGCATATATATTAAATATATGTATATTGATTTTGACAGGTGCTTGAAGCTACTGAGGGGGTAGGAAGATCGAATGTCCAATAGATGTACTATAAATGTACATATTTATTTAGGTACTATATCCGTATAATATATTGGCATACATACATGTGTACATAGTCATATTTTTATTTATACAAAAGCAAAATATTTTCATCTATTAGCAACAAAATCTTAAGCTAAGAAACTGAACGCAAATTTTTGGGGCGAAAACGATGCAAAATATGAAATTAAAAAAAAAAAAACAATTAATATCAACCACCTGACATTGATTTTAAAATATTTCATACAATGCATATTTGCATGAATATACATATGTACTGAAGGATATAAATTACAATCAATTGCATATGCATACAATACATTCATAGGTATGTACAATATATAAGTTTTATATGACATTTAATGGAGTCATGGAAATTAATTTTCCATATTATGAATTGTTTTCAATTGTTTGACTGTAGGAGAGGTAACAATCCAACTAATTTACATTTGAAACTCTATACAGATAAGAGGTCCCTCTATTTGTTGAAAAAACAATTATACGTACACTACAAACTGGAGGAGGAGTTCGAAAATCGCTTCAGCAGTTACAAAGCACCGAATTATTACATTAAATTTCTATTGATTAAAAAAAATTGAATATTTCCTACTGACTATTCAAAACATATTATTAAGCTTGTTATCAATTTAATAACATCATCTTGTTTATTGATACGGTGGGTTACTAAAAGAAGAAGAAGAAGAAACTTTAATGGGAATGAACAGCTTCATAAAACACTCTTACCACTCCTTAGATTGCTAATTTTTCTCTTTTGTTCTCGTGTGAAACAAACGGTTTTTACCACCCTAACAATCAAATATGTGTGTATGCGGAATACATTGATCTTTCAGTATTTTGGTCTCGTGTATTTGAACAAAAAACACCAAAAATGGTACACTAAATACAACTGCAACCACAAAATCACATGAATTTCTAAATTGCTCTAACTGTACAATATTACAATAAGTTATGATGACTTAATTGTTATAAAAAATAAGATAGGTAATAGTTTTTGTAATTTTTGCAAATTGCTTTTTCATTTGAATTTTTTCTAACATTTATTTTCACTTTTGATAAAAAAAAAACATTTTTTTTCCAAAAACATTTAAACAACAGCTGCTTAAGGTTTGTATGTGAACATATGCAACCGAAATTAATTTTGGTATATTTGATAAAAAAAGAGTATATACATATAACGGTAGCGGCTAGAGAGCGACACAAAACAGCAATTTAAAATAAAATTTTATATTATTTCAGAGACAAAAAAGACAAAATAATAGAAAATGCGATAATAAATCATGCTAAATTTAACGAACCCGAAACCATTTTATTTAAATGGAAGCATTAGTAAAATGAATAAAAAGAATATTAAAATATTTTGATTTTATTATTAAGAGCACATAAATTCGATTAAATACTTTATTAGCCAATTGGATCGATTTTATAAATTTTTTCTGTTTAATAAGCACCGGCTTATAGTATTCAGATGTAAAGAATTAACTTGTTGCTTTCTTATTATTATACCTATGTACATATATATATATGTAATCCGAATATTTGCTTTACTCTACCAAATATTAGAGCAAAAAATGCTTTTTTTAATTTGTACCAGTTTGATATTTCTTGTACTAGTATGACTTCAGTAATGAAACTGTAGTAGTTATAAAATACTTTTTCTAACCAGTTTAGCGCTAATGCAAGTAGTTGTAAAAAAATTAATAAATTTTATAAGTATGTTATAACAAAGAAAAGCAGCATGCCTCATGCAAGATCAAAATATTGTGTATCATTCTAAATTTTTTACAATCGTTATAAGCCAATGATAAAAGTTATCACTTGGTCTAATGAAATTTAAACTACCTTTCTTTAAAATATTTATCACTTGTCTTGAATTGCTGATGATCTAAGATATCACATGCAACCGTTGTCGACGACGGCGAAGATAAGAATGGGAAATCGGTGGTGTCCATTTCTGATCTATCCATACATATGTTGTTTGAAAATTTTATTTGTTCATAACAAAGTAACGATGTTGGTGCACTCATTGCTACTACGGTAGGAGGCTGAACTTGTACAAGCTGCTGATCTTTAAACTTGTATTCTAATCGTAAGCAAATATCGTCATGATTATTTTCATTTGAAGATTTTGTATAAAAAGTAGAGTCTGTCGAGGGTGAACCCGTGTAATCTACATTTAATAATGATAAAGCAGATACGTCATCCATATCTAAAACTGATGCGTGGTTTTCAAGAACCTCCTGTGGATTTTGCATAATAATTTCTGATGCTTCAAACGATTCACAAGGCATAAACGAAGATGTTGATAACGGGGACAATAAAGGATACTGGATTGCCGTTGATGCACACAATTCACTTGTAGTGGGCGATTTTGGATCAATAACACTATGGGAATGACAATTACTAGGCGACGATGGAAATGTCTGAACATGTGAAATTAAAACTTCCGGTGTATCCAATGAACCGCTTAAATAACACATTATATTGTCATCACTTTCTTTATTATTCTTATTGCCGTCGTCGACTGGATTGCTAACATTTACATTCATAGAAGAGGTCAAAGATTCATAAGACAGTGGTAATTCGGTGGAAATACTATTGACTCTCTGCATATTTTCATCACTCTCATGAGCCATTATAGCATTGTATATTGGGTAAACCATATCGGTAGTATCTTCTAGAGCTAAACTTAATCCTAAGTGATGTAGCACCTGTTGATGTAACTGTTGATCTGCATGTACTGAATTAACCGTATTATCATCAACTACGTCTGCTTGCTGCGCAATTGCATATGACTTTGAAAAATCTTCAGATGTTGATTTCGAAGAAAAATCTGTAGGATAGTCATCCAAACTCTCCAATAACTCCAATTGCAACTGAGGTGACATTATCGCGGATGACGTAGACGTTGAAGGAAGAGAGCTATAAGCTGAAGAATGATCATCAACCAAAAGTGGATCACTACAAGCGCTATCATTTTCCATGCTCAATGTTCTCATAGATAATATTGGTTCTTTTTGTTGCACTATTTCTGTCGATTTTAATGTGGTAGAAGAATTATAATCCATTGCGTCACACACTTCTAGATGTTAATATATTGTTTCACAATATTTTTTTGTTTCTTAATTATACCTTTTTACATTTAAAAAAGAAATTCATACTTTATCGGAAATATAAAAAGAATTGGCACAAATAAATAATGACTCCTGCGGCCGATCTTTGTCATTATCGCGATTTAATGAGAGAAATAGAAATTTTTTTGAGAATTATAACAATAAAAAAGAAACAAGGTGGTAACGGCATACAACAGACTAGCTCCAATGAAAAAAAAAAATAAGGGTTACAACTATTGACCTAAGTTAATGGCATTACGCATTATTGTACGAATATTCGAAATTTTCCTTAAATATCATTTGATTGCTAGAGAAAATTCTTTTTTAAAACGTATACCACTCTTTTGTTTTTGTCACATTAAAACATTCACTAACTAAAAGAGCAACCGTACTTACTGATAAACAACCCAGAAAACGTATGTTATATACATACGTTCTCTGAACGAACTGCCAGTCATCGCAGAGAACGTATAACTAATATATTATACGTTCTCTGGTCATCGTGGCTGTCAGCAATTGCCAAATTGGAGTAGGTGAAGAAATTTGGATAGAAATCGTAGATATAATTTTTCTATATACAGCTGTTTATAAAATAATAAAATACAATATGAGTGTACGAGTAATTAATGATGACGCCCATTTTCAAACGGAATTGAGTTCTGCGGGAGTACGGCTTGTAGTAGTTGACTTCACCGCCAGTTGGTAAGGAAATAAGATGTACTGATATATGTTTAAAACTTGATATTTTCACAATAATTGCAGGTGTGGTCCTTGTCAGCGTATGGCTCCACATTTTGATATGCTGCCTACTAAATATCCAAAGGCGATTTTCTTAAAAGTAGATGTAGATAATTGTCAGGACACTGCGGCGAGCCAAGGTGTATCAGCTATGCCCACATTTATTTTTTATCGCAACAGGGTAATACTGCTATTTATTAAAATTTTATAAATCTAATAAGATTTCTTAACTTTTAGACGAAAATTGATCGCATACAAGGTGCTGATATAGTTGCACTCGAAAATAAAATCAAGGAGCATATAGGGTCCAGTGGTGGAGATGAAGCCGGTGAAGACTATGGTCAAGGACTTGTGAGAACATTAAATTACAATAATTAAATGTATATTACACATTTTTCATTCCTAGATGGAGTTAAATACCTTCATATCGAAGCAAGAATGTGAATGTTTAAATGAAGCGGATGATCATTCCTTAAATCATTGTCTTACTTCGAATGGTGGTTACCTGCAATCAGATTGCGACGAGCAATTAATATTGTCGGTAACATTTAATCAGTTGGTGAAAATCCATTCACTCAAGTTCAAAGCTCCACCTCACTTGGGTCCTAAAGAAATTAAACTGTTTATTAACCAACCAAGAACAATTGATTTCGACATGGCCGAATCTATGACTAGTGTACAAGATTTAACGTAAGAACTTGATTTTTCATGTGAAAAAGTGAATATTGTGAAAAAATTATAATCACTGTTTTGAATTTAGATTGGAGCCCAAGGATCTAGAAAGTGGTCAGCAAGTCAATTTGCGGTACGTGAAATTCCAAAATGTGCAAAACTTACAAATTTATGTACGCAATAATCAATCGGGTGGAGAGGTTACACAAATTGATTATATTGGATTCATTGGATCCCCTATTATGACAACTAAAATGACTGACTTCAAACGTGTTGCGGGAAAAAAAGGAGAAAGTCATTAATAGATCACAATAAAAAAATAGAAGACTTTGCTTTGGAGATATTTTCAAATGATTTTCTACTACATGTTTTAAAAATGTCAACTTTATTTAAATTCAGTCTAGGAATATATAACAATATTTAATGCATCTTTCAGGGATGCTATAAAATGGAATTAAATAGTATTTGTTATTTATTTTCGTGATGAGAATCATAATATCCATTACTTAATATCCCAGGCTCACATAAATGATACAATATCTCATATATACAGATATTTTATATTGCAAATAACTTATAATATCTTTAGTAGGTCAAAGTCTGGTATTATTGGTGGAATCGTTCTTGTTTGACTTATTCAGTTTTCGGTTTTCTATATCTTGCATAAGTATAGACCATGCCTTGTCTACCTGCTGCTGCGTAAATTCATCTGACCATTGGGAACTAAACACGATATGTGATCTTGAAACTACTTCGCTATTTCCCATTTGGCTATCGATGCGTTTTCGCGCTTCTTCTTCACTTAAACCGTTCCGTTTTTTAATACGCTGTATAGCTACATCGGCTGTTACTATTGTTGACCATACTTCATGACATTCTTTGTCCCATCCAGCATTTAATAGGATAGCTGCTTCAATCACAACCACTTCACACTGATGTTTATCACGCACATCATGAATACGTTTTTTAACTTCTGTTAAAAGTTCAGGCCATACAATTTCATTCAATATTTCCAACTGCTTTGGATTGTTAAAAACAATTTGTCCAAGTGTTTTGCGATCAATACGTTCATCTGAACCAATAATTGTCCTACCAAAATGTTTAATTAGTTTATGGTAGCAAGATTGGCCAGGCTCGTATATTTCATGGGCAATCTTGTCGCAATCGAAAACTTGTGCACCCTTGTTAAGCAGTCGCCTACACATTATGCTTTTACCAGAAGCTATTCCACCAGTTAGGCCGATGATGTATGGTTCATCAAAGAGATTAGGTCTCGGCTGTCAAGCAATCATAAGTTTAAACAGGATGAAGATAAAATCAATTTTATTTACTTACTTCAGGTCTCTTTATGCGGGAGCCTAATAAGTCAATACGTGTATTGCTAGAGCTCACTTTCTTTTCCATTGGTCCTAAGCCTATATTTGTGGAATTAACGAGTTCTATACAATATATTTCAAGCGGTCGCATATTATTTTTCATCCTAAGCTCATTTATTTTATGACCACCTTTTTCCGTTTCGGCGCTCACCACAATCATATCTAAATTGGGGTCGGATAACGTTGGTCCAAATGGATCATAAATTGGAACAATTTCATATTCTAAGCTAGCATCAATCCCTGTTAAAAATTCACGAATATCATCTATTCGAGATTCCACGGGTAATATTAACTCTGAAAGAGTTTTATCTGAAATAATTAAGTTTTATGCATTAACTAGGGTTAAATTATTTGAAATTGATAGAGACGAACGTTTGGACATCTGATTTGTGGTGACGCCGACCACCAATCTACGGCAACAACGAATTACTGCCTGGGTTAGGAATATTTTGTGACCCACATGTATTCGGTCAAAAGTTCCACCCACAACTACTGTATCGTACATTTTATTAGCTTCTTTGAAATTTTGGTGTTCCGTCAAATCTGTACTCTGTGCTTTATCCAAATAAATTGGTTTCCCGGGTATATCGAAATGTTGTATAATAACCTCACAAAGTTCAGGATAGTGGCCATCAGAGAATAACATATCGACAGGCCTTTTTATTAATCCTTTTATACCTTGCTCACGCAACGATCCCACCAAAATGTTCATACACAAGCTTTTGCTGAGTAACTGATTGTTATCTACGTATAATTGTGATATTAAATGACTCCACGTAGGTAACGGCTGACATTTTTCCACAGGTACGTTTAGATGAATATAAATTTTATTCACATATTTCTCCACGACGCTTAGAGATTTCGCAATTTGCTTTATATTTGATACAATTAATAAGCCTGTCGATGTCATTTGAGCTGAAACCAAATCGAATTGCCCTTAAGTAAGTAAGAATAAAACTAAAGTACCATTACACTTCTACTTTAAAATCAATCATCTGTAGACTTTTAAATAAGAATATTTACTGAGCGTATCCACGCGCTTTAAAATCTCGCTCGCTTAATGGTGTATGTAACTACCCGACACTAACCACCTCTTTGCATGGCCTTTAATACCAACTCGTCCTTCTGGTCCGGACTGGTCGAAATAGCTCGTTTCTGAGACCTCCGGTTAGATGACTTCGATGACTTTAACTGATCTTACCGGCTCTCAAGTACGGTTTTGGAACCCCTATAACAACAACACCATTTCCGAGTAATTCTCTATTTCGCCCGCTTTTAAATTGTTTCGGCGTTTCTCTATCTTCCTTACATGTATTCAAAATCTTTTAAATGCTCTCCACAGCTCAAGGCATCTCCTTTTTACATTTTTCAAATGATATAGTTTCCTGCTAAAAGCCAGAGATCAAAAATCTATCCCACTTACTAAAAATGATATAGTTTCCTGCTAAAAAGCCAGAGATCAAAAATCTATCCCACTTACTAAAAAAAAAGGAATGCATGAAAAACTTTAAAGCAGATGAAGACATCTAATTAGATAGTGTACTTTGACCAGGCGGCTATAAAATTCAGAGAGAGAAATGTTATACGTTCTCTGTAAAATTTTTTTGATAAGAAAACACAACTATGAGAATTCGTTAAATAAGGTTGCCACCAGTATGATTTTGTGTAACTGAGCATTTAAATGTTAATTAACTGTCAAAGAAAAATTCTGACCATATTGTTACGATTTTACTAAATCAACCTCGATTATTTTCTAGATCCTTCGGGTACGATCTCTGGATTGTTAAATAAAAACTCGCCAACTTAATTTGCAGTTTCTTTCGTTATAAAGATTCTATCTAATGTCCTTTATTTTCTCAGTAATTCACAATTCAATTATACTGCACTTTACTA